GACAGGCCCGACTTAATGCTAGACCTCGATTGTCCCCTGTCCCTTTGTCTTCGGGCACCCCCTGGTGTCAACAACGGAGCCAGGGTGACAAACTGCGCCAGATTAACCCCCCCAGAGTGGTCCTTGGGACCGATTTTGAGCGGACTTGTCCTCCTCTCAAGCAGTGGCGAAGCATCCTGGCTCGCCTATAGCCCTACCAAACAATGTCCCAATGTTCTAAGAACCTTTTGTGGTCTACGACATGTCCTTAGAACATTTCTGGCGGAGTCTCTCTTGTTTTATCACGTCGGGCTGAGGTTCTGAGAACATGGTTCTTGCTCTTAGAACACTGTTGGGTCCTAAGAACATTCCGTGGTAGGACTACAGGAATGCCGGGACGGTCGGTCCCTGCTCAATCCTCCCCCCTCCTGCCCGGCTTCTTGGGCCCCCACCAGTTCGGACCCCCGGCCGCCTCTGGGCACGGAGCGCCGGCGCCGCTCGGTGCAGCCCACGGCGAGCCACTTCGGGCCAGCCCGTACGGGGGTCGGCCCAGACCGCCGGGCACCCTCGCCAGTGGGGTGACGTTGAGCCCACGCGGTGCCGCATACACGTTGTTCGTTTCGCATTCTTCGAGGGTTCTTTGAATTCTTGGGGGGCAAGATCCTGTCATGTCTCGTTGTTCTATCCTGGGCCCCTTCCTGACCGCCGGGGGGCCAGGAACTAGTAGGAACGAGCACAATTCGAAATGCGCACGATTAGAGATAGAACGACGTGTACGTGGAAGCCTTCGTCATGCGCGTGAGCAGGACGGCTCAGCGGCCGCCGCAATTAGCGATTCATCGTTTTTGTAGCCGGCCCAATGCGAAAGGGGGGCACCAGGTCCATAGGCTCATCGGGCTGCTCACCGAGTCGGCCAGACTGGTAGAGCGAGCGCACTCGGCACCCTTTCATCAGTGGGAGCAGCAATTGCGCTGGCCTTTCAGCTACGCGGCTCCCAAGCGGGGGCTCAACAGATACCATGTGGCACATATGTCACATGTCTGGTTGCCAGCAGCGCTCGGGGCCAGGAAGCTTCAGTCACGGCGGTTTGCGACCTCGAGAACGCACTTGAGCATATCTAAATATTTTTGCTCTGGCGGGAAACTCCGAAGCGCGGCTTCCTCCTCCAACTCCTCTGCCTCCTTACAACCACGTGCGCCTCTGAGGGCCTGGTATCATATCGAGGGGTCCAACTGCAGTGCAGTGGCAGATTGGGCGGTGGTGGCGGGGAGCACGGGGGGGATCAGACGCCCTAGGCTGTGTGTGTGCGATCCGTGCTGGATGGTCTATCCCAGCAGCGGGTGGCAGCCTATAGATCGAGCTAAAGTTTTGCTTGTTCCTGATGTAGGCGGTCTGTCCAGGGCTCTCCTAGCGGCCGTCTCAGAGTCCCTGCGTTGCTCGAGTGGGATTCATGCCGCCCATCGTGTTTGGAGCGGCGTGCTGGGGGCTAGACCCCACTACAGAGTGGATCTGGCTCGTATCGTCATGGCTGGTTTGCTCTGCGGAGCTTCAATCGAACGGGATCGGGTGCTCAGGCTCTGGATACTCGTTTGTGACCCTGTCTTGGAGGCCGCTGGCAAGCCCCTGTTTGGATGGACTCTCGCCGCCAGGGCATTCCGGCTCCGGCCGCGAGGGTCACGGCGGTTCGGGCACAGGACGTCTGTGACTCCACGGGCCGGCCGAAGGGTCTTTTGCTCAGGAGATGGAGCCGCAGGAAGGCGCATCGGGCCTCCCAGGGCACTCGGCCCCACGAGCTCCGATGCGCCTGGGGCGCTTGGCGGTGCAACGCTTGCTGCAGGTGTGGCCGCCCGACAGTGGCTCTCAGAGCTCTCCGGCTCAGGCCTGCAGGGGCAAGGCCACGCGAGACAAGCGGTGGGGCATTGGCGGGGCGCGTCGGGGCGCGTCGGGGCGGGCTTCGTCAGCGGCGAGCCGAGGGGGGGGGAAGTGAGGCGGAGAGGGCCCTCTCAGAAGGCGGCGGGGCTTCTCGGAAGCCCTCGCGCCTTCTGAGAGGTTTCTGGTGCCTTCGGGGAGGGCGCAGAGAACTTCTCGGAAGGCCAGGGGACTGCCGAGCCTTCCGAGGAGGCCTTCTGCTTCCTTTCTCCCCCCTTCGGTCGCCGCCGACTTCAGCATGTCGCCCCTGCTGTGCGGGGTCAGGCCTCGTAGGCCTCGGGCGGGCCCGTGCGGGCTATGGCCCCCGTGCGGCGAGAGCGCCGCGCGGAGCTGTCTCTCGACAGCTCCCGTGTGGCAGGGAAGACCGCCGGCCCACCCCCTGTGGTGTGTGTGCCGGCCGTGGAGAAGTTGCGACCTGCAGGCTCTGCCTGCACCACGGCATGGTTTTCGGACGTGTGCCTTTTTCCTTGCATCCTCATTCCTTCCGTCCTCAAACCTCCTCCTCCTCCTCCCTCCTCCTCCCTCCTCCTCTTCCTCCTCCTCCTCCTCCTCGTTCTCTTCTTTCTTTCTCCGTAGCCACTTTGGCTGAAGTATTGAGGCTCCCTGGAGGTCAAAGTGACACTGCTAATCCCTGGCCCACGATGGGGGCGGGAGTGCTTGCATTGAGACCGAGCTGGAGGCGAGCTGGCAAGCTCTCCCTGCACCATGGCATCTTTCGGACGTGTGCCTCTTTCCTGGGCGAAGCCCATCGAGGAGCGCATCTTTCGGGGGTGGACCGACCTCCCACCATGACACGTCGATTAGTGATTTGTCCGTTTTCGGTTCTCGAGACGGCGCCGCGGCCGTTATTTTTCAGACTTGCGCCCGCCAGGTTTGGGCCCGAGGTCGTTTTCATTAAACCACGTTTTGCTAAAGGGGGTTCTGTCCATCCCCGAATCTTGGGCCATCTCTCGAAGAAGACCGCCCCCGAGCCGAGCTTGGCCCGGGCGGCGGCGCGCGGCGCCTCTGGAGGAGAGCGCCCGCCTCCTGCGGGCCAGGCCAGGGCGTGCGCGGCGCCACCACCTGGCTCTGGCGAGTAATCGTGATTTGTGTGTGTGTGTTGTGGTGTGTGTGTGTGTTTAAAATGACATCAACGCACGTGCTCCAGAAGTTCTAATCGGGTATGGCCAGGACCCCGGGTAAGGGGACCCGGTTAGTGGTAGGGCCCCGGAGCCCTTGAATTGGCCAGACTCACCAAACCAGGTCTGCCCCAGCTGGTGTTCTCTCGGGTGACGGCAGTTCCGGTCAGTGGAAGTGGGACTGGGGGGCGCCCCCGGTACGGATCACTGCACCAGGCTCCCCTAAACCCAGTTCTGCCAACGCCCGATCTAAGCGAGAGCATCCAGAGCCAGCCGACATCATGCGGGCATGTACCTGGTGCACCTCCCAGGAGCATGGCGAGTTCCAGTGCCCTTCGCAGCGGCGAGACGGCTGCGTCTGAAGCATCTGGGGCACAACTTTCGCATAATTCACATGACGTGGCGTTGCCTCTCGCGTCGGGAGATCCGCCGCGAGGTATTAATGCCATCGACCAGTCGGCGGGCTACTTGACGAGCATGGCGATCGCGAACCGCGCGCACGGAGGGGGGCTCCGATCGCGTGAGCGCCGCCCGGGAGAGCCGCACGGAGGCGGCGCGGGGCCTCGCCACAGGGAGCGCGGAGCCGAGAGGGGGGCCGCCCGGCGCCCGAGGCTTCGGCGCGGCCAGCCCAATGCCTGGGAAACCTCGGGCCTCCCCCGTCCCTCCCTCCTCCCTCGTCGGCGTCGGCGTCGTCGTCGTCATTGTCCTCCTCCTCCACCTGCTCTTGTCCTCCTCCTGTCCTCGTCCTCCTCCTCCTCCTCCTCCTCCTCCTCCTTCTCTTCCTCATCCCTCGGATATTATCCTCCTCCTCCTCCTCCTCCTCCTCCTCATCCTCATCATCATCATCATCATCATCCCTCGAGCAGAGGCCCAAGTGCTGGTGCCCGGCAGAACGTCTGCGGAGACGGGTCGGGATGTCTTGCCTTCCCCCCTCCCTCGAAGATCCTCCTCCGAAGCTGCGCCAAAGAGCCGAATGTCAAACGGATACGTGTTCCCTCCTGTCCTCCTCCTCCTCTTCCCCCTCCTCCTCCTCTTCCTCCTCCTCCTCCTCGTGCTTCTCCTCCCTCTCCTCCTCCGCCACCTCCACCACCTCCTCCTCCTCCTCTTCGTCCCCCCTGGGGTCGTGGGCTGCGGTCTTCGCGCAGCTCTGTCTCCAGGAAGCCCTGTTCACGCGCGTATAGGCGGTAGCTCATGCTAGTCGGAGGCTTGGGGATCGGACGGGGCAAGGACGAGGAAATCTCTTCCAGAGCGTTCCGGAACGCTCTCAGAGCGTTCCGGGACGCTCTGAGGAGGCCGCGGCGCCCGAGACATCCTCCAGAGCCGCGGGATTTTCGAGATTCTCGATTTATCTTTACCCGATGGTATCCTCGTCTTGGCTTTGTCTTAGGGCAGGCCCTGCTGGCTTTGTCTTAGCGCACGCGCAAATGAATTCACATTAGTTTCGAGAGAATGCATTCCGAGAGCGCCAGAGAATGATGGCGGCCTCGTGAATTAGAGAGCATCTTCATACACTTGGCTTGGCGCGTACATCCATTCTGAGCTCCCTCTTGGAGAGGCCTGGCTGGGAACCAGCAGAAGCCAGGGTCGGCATGGCGCTTCTGATATGTGCGAATGCTGAAACAAGGATTGGCGTTGAACGTGGATGTTGACCATAGCGGGCATATAATCAGTACCCCTCCCGATCAGCTGTCCGATTCGTGTAGACAAGTTTGGGTAGCGAGAGCGGCGTCTAAGAGTAGGAAGGCTAAGCAATATGTGAGGACAGCTATTTAATTGCATCCCATGTCCCTCTGGGGCGACGATACCGATGATAAGGACGACAGCTGCTATGAAGTGGCTTATGACGGTGGTGGCTACGATGAGTGCTGACAGGTCGAGCGCGATCACGATGACGCTTTCTACAAGTGATGGCAGCTGTTTGTTGACGTGGGCATCTCAGCACATGTGTAGCTGAATACATCTCCGAAGCCCCAGGCGTCTCCGAAGGACCTTGCCTTCTACTTCACGCACTGGTTCACCGACTTGGCTGGCGCTGAGCCATTTCCGACGGACGACGCTCCGAGCTTGACCTCTTTCTTTTAAAGGCCCCGATTCGATTTGCCGGGACTCGTCCGTTGGATATTCGATGCCAGCTTGGGGGGATGCATGGAGCAGCGAGAACGAGCTCAGCAAGGGAATCGAGAGGAGGTGTTTTCGTTACGGCAGTCCAGCAATGTAGAGGGACGTTTACAATGCTTTCGTGTCTCCCTCGCTCCAAGTGGCTCGGAGGGGATCGTAGCCGGCCCTTCAAGGAGCGTCCTCCCATTTGAGCCCCTCCTCCAGTCGACCACAGCGAAGCCGGCTGGGCCTCGCGAGCGCTGCCCGAGCGCGAGGAAGCCCGAGGGCGAGAAAAGCGCTCGGAGGTGAGCAACCAGCGTGGGGTTGAAGGTACGCGTCTGCGAGGGCTGAAGATCAGAGGAGGAACAGGTACCCACACCGCTACCCTGCCCCCCCTTTTCCCCCTTTTCTGGCCTCCCAGGAGGCCCGTGTCGCCACCGCTGGATGCGCCTCGAAACTCTGGTCATGGCGCACCCCAGGAGAGGGCCGTGGAGTAGCGGTATGGGCACCTCTGCGTCTCCCCAGAATCGCAACACTCGGTGCACATGTCGCAGGCCTGGCGGTGGACACCAGCACCAAGGTCGGCGGTGTGCCTCCACCCGAGGGAGGACGATCCCGATCTCGGTGATGGCAGTAATTAGGGGGCCACATGCGAACCCTACCCCTACCCCCACGATTTCTGAGGGGGAGGGTGGGGTTTACTTCGTTCGAGAGCTCCCGAGCGAAGTGAACCCCACCCTCCCTCTCAGAAATCGCGGGGGGTAGGGGTAGGGTTCGCATGTGGCCCCCTAGTGGGCACCAACACCAAGATCGGCGGTGTGCCTCCACCCGAGGGAGGACGATGCCGATCTCGGTGATGGCGGTCATCTTCTGGCCTCCGAGGCGGCCGAAAGAGTGCCACCCGCACCGAAAGTTGGGGGTCGTCGTCCCCCTGGGGATGCAGCCCCCTGGGCTGGTGCTGTCAGAGACTGGAGCATGTACTCGGAGGTGGACAGACCTCCTACCCTAACACGTCGATTGAGGAATTGGCCGTTTTCAGTTCGCGAGAGGGCGTCGCGGCCGTCATTTCTGCGGGCCCAGGTCCGTCGGTTTCGGTCCCAGGCCGTTTTCACTAAGGGGAGGTTTACTCAAGGGAGGTTTGTCCACCGCCGATATACATTACAAGTGGCGGGTTTACCTCGATCCCACTACGTTTTGAGGGTCGGGGACGACGTCGGGGCGGTGTGGTGCATACTGCTCCCCCGTTTTCCAAGTGAAACAACGAAGCATGTATACACTGGGATCCCGTATACACACCAGGATCCGCGTTCCTGTGCGACTTTCAGAGCAGGGTCGGAAGAAGCGTCGGTGTGTAGAGCTCGTTTCCCGATGTTGGTGCCAATTTCCAGGCCTCCAGGCATTTGCAGGATTTGACGAACGGACATGGAGTCTGGCCTGTCCCTCTACAGGAGGAGTGCTCAGAAACAGTCAGACAACTAGTCTGGGGACGATTGTCCTACAATTTTTCGACCCTCTGGGGGCATTCTTGCACAGTTGTTTTGTTGTTCGTCCAAAATCCCCCTGTAGGGGGGCATGCCCGACCCACAGCGAGCACCGGGCACCCATAGATCCATAGGAGGGGGGAGGGGACGGAGAGGGCCACATGGGGCGCGCGTCGTCGCAGGGGGGGCCCCCCCCGCTCGCAGACGAGAGCCTCCCCCCTGGGGCCCGACCGCTCGCCCTTCTGCCCATGGCCAGCTCCTCTCCCTCCTCCTCTCCCTCCTCCTCCTCCTCCTCCTCCTCCTCCTCCTCCTCCTCCTCCTCCTCCTCCTCCTCCTCCTCCTCTCCTCCTCCTCTCCTCCTCCTCCTCCCTCCTCCTCCTCCTCCTCCTCCTCCTCCCTCTCCTCCTCCTCCTCCTCCTCCTCCTCCTCCTCCTCCTCCTCCTCCTCCTCCTTGCAGAATCCTGCAAGATCATGCACCCAAACCCTGGTCAATGCGAAGGACCCTGCAGGATCCTGCAGGACCCTGCACCCAGGCCTGGGCCAATGCGACCCTGTTCCTGCAGGACCCTGCAAGATCGGGCGCCCTGGCTGACCCCCGCTTGCATCGACCCCTCCTCCTCCTCTCGCTCCTCCTCCTCCTCCTCCTCCTCCTCCTCCTCCTCCTCCTCCTCCTCCTCCTCTTCCTCCTCCCTCCTCCTCCTCTCCTCTCCTCCTCCTCCTCTTCCTCTTCCTCTTCCTCCTCCTCCTCCCCCTCCCCCGCCCCGCCTCCTCCTCCACCTCCTCCTCCTCCTCCTCCTCCTCCTCCTCCCCTCCCCCTCCTCCTCCTCCTCCTCCTCCTCCTCCTCCTCCTCCTCTTCCTCCTCCTCCTCCTCCTCCTCCTCCTCCCTCCTCCTCCTTCCTCCTCCTCCTCCTCCTCCTCCTCCTCCTCCTCCTCCTCCTCCTCCTCCTCCTCCTCCTCCTCATCCTCATCATCATCATCATCATCCTCCTCCTCCACTCCTCCTCTCCCTCCTCCTCCTCCTCCCTCCTCCTCCTTTCCCTCCCTCCCTCCTCCTCCTCCTCCTCCTCCTCCTCCTCCTCCTCCTCCTCAGGGCCCACCCTGGCCCTCGCTGGCCAGGGTGCCGAGACCAGTGACACCCACGTGCATGCCAGAGCACGCGTGTTTAAACTCCTCCCTCAGGCCTCCTCCTCCGCTCCTCCTCCTCCTCCTCCTCCTCCTTCTCCTCCTCCTCCTCCTCCTCCTCCTCCTCCTCCTCCTCTCCTCCTCCCCGTCCTCCCCCTCGTGTGGAGCGCTTTGGCTCCACGGTCATCTGCCTCTGCTGCGGGGCGTTTAGTGTGGCTGGAGGCCGCAACCGCAAGCTGCGTGCCCAGTGCAGGGGACATTCGGACGTAGCTTCCACGCGTGCGAACGAGGAGATGCAGATCTCACGTGCGCTGCGCGGGCTGCACCCCAGGTCGGGGGACCCTTGCCCATGATGACCTCGACGCCAGGTCTCCTCCGTCGGCGCTCCGACGAGGTGGGGACGGCGCTGTCGAGGTCTAGCGGCACGGTGCGATGGCTCGAAGCCTCGCCGTGCGGCTCATCACTTCCATCCCGCTGAAGCGGGTCCGTACGCTCGGACTCGCCCTTCATCGCTCGCTACCTCCTCCTCCTCCTCCTCCTCCTCCTCCTCCTCCTCCTCCTCATCCGCCTCCTCCTCCTCCTCCTCCTCCTCCGCCTCCTCCTCCTCCTCCTCCAAACCGTCTATGGGCTGCACCAGAGCAGCACCCAGAGAGCCTCAGGGGAGGTCGAGGTGGCCCCCCAAAGGGGCCCCACGAGCGGCCAAAGAGGAGATCAAATATTTGGCTTAAGTCGGGCTGTCTCTCTACCGGGGGAATACTCAACAATAGACAAATCAAATAGTCAGAGACCGATGTTTGGACATTTTTGAAAATATTTGTTGGTGGGCATTTTCGGAGTATGTTTGATTTTTCGTCCAGAGTCCGTCTGTCGGGGGACATGCCCGACCTGAAGCTTGGCCATGCGCGCGACAAGGGCCACTGGCTGCAGGCACAGGTAGCGAGAGGCAGCACCCTGCAGCAGCAAGCAGCAGCCGCGCACAGCAGCAGCAGCAGCAGCAGCAGCAGCAGCAGCAGCAGCAGCAGCAGCAGCAGCAGCAGCAGCAGCAGCAGCACACAACAAAAACGGAGCAAGCAGCGGCGGCAGCGCACAAGCAACGGCAAACAGCAGCACGAAGCAGGCAGGCAGCAGCCGCTCGCATGACGCAGCAGCTCGAATTTGCAGTATTCAGCACCTTGCGGCCACAACCAGCGAGGGCAAGCCACAGCAGCGAGGTCAGGGCGATCCCACCCCCCAACGGCACCACCTCCTCTACTTGGCGGGGCAACCTCGTATCCGAAGCTATCAGCTCGATCTATCGCGGGGGTGCAACATCAGCAGCATAGTGCTGTCCCCGCCCATCAACATGAAAGGATCGGCTCGTTTCGGTTCGGTCCAGTTCTGCAGCCCGTTCGGTTTCGCTTGGCCGGTTCGGTTTGACGTCAGCTCGGTTTCGGTCGGTTCGGCCTGGGTCTGCCGCCGGTTCGGTTAGGTTACGGTTTTCGCGCGGTTGGGTCCGACCAGTTCGGTTCGGTTCGATTGGCCGGTTTGGTTCGGTTCGGTCCGCGTCGGGTGCGACGTTGGGCGCCCCGTCTGCGTAAGCGACGACCCAGTTCGAAAACAAAAGGAGGAGGAGGAGGAGGAGGAGGAGGAGGAGGATGGGAGGGGTTCGGACGGGGGGTCTGGGCCCAGCGGTCTTGGGGTCCGGACCGGGGGTCTTCCAGCCAGGGGGTCTTCCAGGGGGTGCGGACCAGGGGGGTCCTGGGGGTCCTCCAGGGGCCGGACAGGGGGGAGGTCCGGACTGGGCGGGGGGCTGGGGGAGGTCCGGACCTGGGGGGGTCCGGACCGGGGGGGGCCCGGACCGGGGGGGGGGTCCGGGCGCCCTCGTGGGCCATCTTGGAGCCGTCTTGGGTCCAACGACGAGGTCCTGGGTCCTGAGGGTCCTCGGAGTTTTGGGGTTGTCGTCCTGCGGTCTTGTGCGGGCTGGGTTGGGACGTCCGGTTCGGTTCTCGTCGGTTCGGTGCGGGGGCCGCCCCGCGTTCTAGTTCGGGGGGCCGCCCCGTTGCGGTTCGGTTCCGGTGTTGGTTCGGTTCACGGTTCCCCCCGGCTTGGTTCTGAGTGAGTTCGGCTCGGTCCGGTTTGGTTTTTGGTTATCCTTGTTTGGGGCCGGTTCGGTCTGGTCCGGTCACGGTTCTCGGTTCTCGGTTCGGTTTGGTTTTTTTCATGCGTCAGCAGGAGAGCCAGCAGCAGCGGCCATGCCCACGCAGCAACAGCAAGCAGCAGCAGCACCCGTCAGCGAGCAGCAGCGAGCAGTGCAAGCAATGCCGAGCGACAGAAAGCCGCACCAGTGTCACACAGCAGTGCGCAGCAGCATCCTCACGAGACCCCGCACGTACGTGTACCACGGCTGCTTCCAGCCTCACTTTCACCCTCGGGTATCCGCTGGCTTCTCTGGCTCGTAGGGCCTCCCTGGCCTCTCAGGCCTCTCCGTGCTTCTCCACAGGTCTCCAGGTGTTATCCATATAGTGGAAACCCATGCCAAGACAACACTCTGCTTGCCTCCTGGGTGCCCTGGGCTTCTTTGTTTTTTGTTGATGGTTTTGCAATGGAGGGCGTGCAGCTCCCACAACGAAAATCAATGGACGTCCTGGGGTCCCAGGGTTTGGGATTCTTGGAAGGTTCTTGTGGACTGGCCTCCACTGCACCTTTTGGAGCCGATGCGCCGTCACTCTGCTCCGCCATGCTGGCGCAGCAGAGCGCGTTGGGGACGGCCTCAGACGGCCTCGCCGGGCTCCAGACTGGCCGAGAGAGCCTCGAGGAGGCGCCCAAGGTAACGCCAGGACGCTCGAGGAGGAGGAGGAGGAGGAGGAGAAGGAGGAGGAGGAGGAGAAGCTGGAGGAAGAGGAGGAGCGGCAGGAGGAGGACCCCCATGACTGGCAACGATCGCGCCGAGGTCGTGCGCGGAGGCTCCCTGAAGAAATGTTCTGCGCAGGGCTCCGTAGGGGCGAAGGCAGCTCTTCCCCTGACGGGGCTCGCACCGTGGGGCCCCTCCTCTTTACCCAGAGGAACTACGCGGGTCAGCCGAGGCTTCGCTTGGTGCCCGCCTCGTGGGCGCCTCGTGGGCCGCACGTCGTGGGCGCCGCGTGCTCTGGGTGGGTCCGCCGAGGCGTCGCTCGGTGCCCGCCCCGTGCGCGCCTCGCAGGGCGCCTCGTGGGCGCCTCGTGGGCTGGGCGGCCGCACGGCTCGCACCGCGCAGCTTCTGCCGCACGGCCTGCGCCGCAGAGCTTCGTCCGCGCGGCTGTGGAGGCCCATCCGTGGAGAGGAAGCGTGCTGCCCAGCAGCTTCCAGATGTCTAGAACGTGTGCTAAGCATGCTTCAAGCATGTGCAACACATGTGTTTCAACATGACTATAGAACCTGTTTCCGACATTCTAAACAAACGCAGTTCAAATTCAATGATCGGACTGTTAGGGTGTCCATTGTCGTGGCATCCACGACCACACAGCTTGCAGCACCGCGCAGCTTTCAACGCACAGCTTTCACCACAGAGCGTCTCCACACGGCTTACAACACCGCGCGGGTTTCCGCGGCCAGTAGAGAAAAGTTTGAGCAAATTGGAAAGTGCAAGCAGCAGCAGCTCTTGGGTTGCGGCCCAGGGCTTTTCGGTTCACCCCAAACCTCCCTGGACCCTGGATCCTGGTGCTTGTTGTCTGCTCTTCTCGGGATGAGCGCGAACCCACAGTACCATTAAAGATGGGCTATATTGTTAGGCTAGCCAGGTAGCCAGGTAGGAGAGGAAAGTGGGCTCCAAGGGAACCTCCCTGCGTCGCGACGTTCGTCGCAGCGCGGGCCCCCCACAGGTCTGGGCCCTTCCTCCGGGGCGGCGCTTCCTCCTGGGTCGTCTTTGGACGGTCCTGGGACCTGCATCCCCCCTCGAAGTGCAATCGCCAGTCTTTTCCACGACGCGGCGACGCGCCAACTGACGCCAACCGACGAGTGTTTTTTCCTGGGCCCCCAGTTTCAGCGTTGACGCCGAAGCTGGCGACTACCATTTTCTTGTGCTGACCCCGCGGGCCGCAGCAAGATTCGGGGGCGAGGGGGTTGGATAGAGGCTTGCGCCTGATCTCGAGGAGGGGTGTTATGAGGGCTCCCAGAGGCCGACACCAGCTAAGATTAAGTTGGGTATGTCCCTTTCCAGAATGAACATTCAAAAACAGTCAAAACAATAGTAGGGAAACGATGTTTCTAGTATTTTTTGCTATGGGGGCCTGGTTCCGGGGCCCTCTGGGGACTGCCTGGGGCTCGAGGGCACCCATCCGGAGGTCCCAATTAGATGCTGTGGGGGGGGACGGTGTGGTGGCCTCGAGCTCCCAGGGAACCTCACCGCACGCTCCGTAACCGGACGGTTCTGGTATCCTGGAGGCTCCGGTCGCCCGAGACATCCTCAGCGACCCGAGTCCCAAAAGCGTGCGGCGGCCCCGAATCCCCACTGACTCACCACGCGGTGGGGTCACCGCACCGTTTGGGGGCCCCCGTCCAGGAGGGCTGCGAGAAGTTCGTGCTCAAGTTCCCCAAGCACGTCTTGAATCAGTTCCTTCTGTCTTTCTCCATCGTGCAGAACATCAGCGTCCCCGGCGCTACCGAGGCGAGGGTGTACGAGGAGCTCGAACAAGAAAAAGCATGAGCATGCATACGCATGAGCTTTCGGAGCGCCGTGCGGATTTCTTGGATCGGCGCTGGACGGTGCGCAGAGCTCGCCATGGGCGGCGCCGGAGGCGACGCCAGGGTGTCCCAGCGCCGAACCAAGAAGTCCGCGCGGACCTCCGGAAGCACACAGCACCCCGCAGTTGCGGATAAGAGCGAGGGAGCGGGCGCGGGGTTGGCTCGCGGGGTGGGTCGCGGGTGGGTCGTCGGCGGGTCGCGGGTGGGTCGCGGGGTGGGTCGCGGAGTGTGCCGCGGGTGCGTCGCGGACGGGTCGCAGGCGATGACGACAGTGACAAGAAACACAACCAACAAACAACAACAAACGAATTTGGGCCAGCGGTTTCCCACTTTGCCCACGGTCCTTTTCCGTCGGCGGCTAGGCGGAGTCATTGCGCTGGCGATGGGGCGTTGGTGGATGTACGAACCACTTTGCCCACGCACCCAGTTATGGTGTAAGACCGTTCGACCCCAGAAGTGACCTCTGACGAGTTTCGCTCTCTGGACGGGGTATTTCACAGGGGGGGCTCAGGTTGCCCCCCCCCTTCCCCCCGCTCCCTCCCCCTCCTCCCCCCCACCTCCTTCTCCCCCTCTTTGGGGGGAATGACCTTCCGACTTCCTCCTCCTCGTCCTCCAGGGCGGCGGGTGCCGCGGACCCAAAGGCTGAAGGGTAAGTTTCTGGGGGGTGGGGGGCCCTGTCTGCTGGGCTCGTCCGAGGTGGGTCACAGCCTCGGGCGGGAACAACAAGTTCTCGTCTGAAGTGCGCCCCCACCCCAATTTTCCTCTCTCTCTCTCTCTTCCTTGACTCTCCCTCTATGGGCGGTGAACCTCCTCCTCCCTCTCATCCTCCTCCTCCTCCTCCTCCTCCTCCTCTTCCTCCTCCCCCTCCCCCTCCGCCTCCTTCCCCTCCCCCTCCCCCTCCTCCTCCTCCTCCTCCTCCTCCTCCTCCTCCTCCTCCTCCTCCTCCTCCTCCTCCTCCTCCTCCGCCTCCTCTTCCTCCTCCTCCTCCTCCTCCTCCTCCTCTCCTCCTCCTCCTCCCCTCCCCCTCCCCCTCCCCCTCCTCCTCCCCCTCCTCCATCCGCGCTCTCCGACGGCACGCGCCCAGTCCCCCCCAGCGGAAACAGGGGGGGGGGCGGTTCTTGTCCCCTCCAGAGTGGCCGTTTGGGCTTCAGTCGGAGCCGTGTGTTGTTCGGGGTTGGCGTTCAGTTGGGCTTGTCCTCCTACAGGCCGACTTTTCACGAAAAATGAAACATAGTCAAAGAAATTTTCAAACATGCGCGAACATGGTCCAAACATCGTCCCCAGACAAATTGTTTTTACTATTTCTGAATGTTCTTCCTGTAGAGGGACAGGCCCGACTGAAGGTTGGCGGGCAGCGCTGCATCCCGGGCCCATGGCGGACGCGTGTCCGAACGGCATGCACATCAAGAACACCTTCCTGGACTGCCAGTCACCGTGGATCGACTACGCCTCCGTCGGGGGTCGCCCCCACTCGGACCCCACCTTCGACAGGCATTCCTTCAGCTCGGCCTCGCCGTCGGAGAGCAGCGCTGGGCACAGCTGGAATGCTTGGGCCCAGGCCGGGAGCAGAGGAGAACCAGGGTGCGGCACGAGCCCCTCGAGCGAACCTGAGCAGGGAGGAGGTGGAGAACGCCACCTGCGGGCCGCCCGGCAGGACAGGGCGCGAGCCAAGCCGGGGGCAGGAGGTGCGACTCCGGAGGCGGAGGAGGCGGGCGGCTCGGAGAGTCCGGGCGCAAGTCGGCCCACGAGGACGCAGCGGCGTCACCTGCTGCGGAAGCGGGCGAGAGACAGGCGGGGGAGGGCGCTTCCCGACGCCGCGGCGGGCGGCGCGCGGGAGGTGCGGATGTCGCCCATGCACGGGGCTGGGGGGGTTGCCGGGCGTGCCGGCGGCTCGAGCGAGAGGCCAGCGGCTCACTGCAAGGCCTCGCTGTGATCTTCCCCGAGGCGGTCTGGGCCCTGGTATCGTCGGGGGTGGACAGACCTCCTACCCTGACACGTCGATGAAGGAATTGGCCGTTTTCGGTTCGCGAGAGGGCGTCGCGGCCGTCAGTTTTGCGGGTCCGAGTCCGTCGGTTTCGGTCCCAGGCCGTTTTCACTAATTAAGGGGAGGTATACTAAAGGGAGGTTTGTCCATCGCCGATATCGCTGCGACACTCTTGCTTCACTCCGGCGGTCACGAGGTAAGCAGCAGCTCCAGGATTGCTCTCCTTCAGTCTGGTATTACAGTCGGGGCCCTGAAAAGAAGGAGCCCTTTTCGTTGGGGAGGGGCTCCGTGTTCCTTGATTGTTTCACAGTTTGCCTCAGGACTTCCCCCAGGTTTTCGATGGGGAGTCGAACTTCCAACTGATGGAGAAGGGGCCTCGTTCCCTATGTAGCGTTCCTGAGGTCAACGCTCCTCCAGTCTGGTGTTGTTAGATCGGATGCTGTGGGGTGGTGCCAGGGCCAGCCTCAGGGACAGCATGTCCCTGTCCAGCGGGCGCGCCTCCCGAGGTCGCGATCGCTCGCCGCATGCGCGCGCGCCTCTCCCCACGCATGCCTCTTGCCTCGTGCTCCCTCTCGCCTCCCGGAGGCGGAGCGCCTGGCGAGACCCGCTGGGCCGACCAGTCCCTGTGCCCTCTCTGCCCGCCCCGTCCTCGCTGAATACTCGCGGAAGCCCGAGGTGGTGAAGCCGTTGCCCTCGGAAAGGCCCGGGCGTTGGCGCCCACGCCGCTCGTCCTCGAGTTCTCGGCCCCAGCGCCGAGCTTCGCTCTGCTGAGCGCTGGTATGAGTTGCCAATGCAGCTTCTGCCCGCTCCCTCCTCCCTCCGATCTCGGGTGTTGCTGGAAGTGCCCCTGGCCCAAGGTGCCCCCAGGATTCTCGGGGTGGCCCAGACGGCCTCCAGAGCACCCCTAACGAGGCCCAGAGGGCCCCAGGGGCCCAAAAATGAAGCGAAAAGCTGGGGTACCCTGTGCCAGGGGCACTTCTAGCAACTCCCGACGATCCTCCTCGGAGATTTCTCCTCCTCCGCGCACCGATGCCAGTCACATCCTCGCCGCTGCTGTTGCTGCTCCTGCTCGGCAGCTCGGGCCGAGCGCCCTCGGCATCCCTGAGGCCACAGCGGCACAGCAGGGGATGCCTCCGATTCGATTCGATTGGATTTCGATGGGTTCCGATTCGATTCGACAAACAAGAGAAGGAATTTGCGCGACCAAGACGAACCAGACCAATCAGACCGAGTAGACCAGTCACACCAGGCGGAGCAGACCAGCCAGCCAATCAGACCAAGACCGACCAGGTGTCGGAACCGCGAGCCCAAGCCAACCATGCCAAGCAAAGCAGGTGGACGAACCAGGCCACCGATTCCAACCGAAGCAGACCCTTACATCAACCACGTCAACGACGCCAACCATGCCAAGCAGACAAGTCGGAGTACAAGACCAGACCACCAGACGAACCAGGTGAAGTACACGTTGTTCATGTCTAATTCTTCGAACGTGCTATGATTTTTAAGGGGGCCAAGATCCTTTCATTTCTAATTGTTCTATCCTGGGCCTCTTCCTGGCCACTAGGGGGCCATGAACAATTAGAAACGAACACACTTAGAAATGAGCACGATTAGAAATGAACGACGTGTACTCGATCGACCAGACCAGACCAATCAGACCAAACCAGAGCGACCAAGCAGAACAAACCAGACGGAGTAGACCGAGCAGACCCACCGAACCACTCAATGCCACCCGGACCGACCAGACCGACCAGACCAATAGGAACAACCGAACCAGACCAACCAGATGAACGCTCCTGCGAGTCGCATCACCAAGTGTGCCAGGCCAACCTAGCAGACCAATTCGAACATACCATCCGAACCAACCTGGCCGACCAGGGGAACCGAACGACCAGACCAATGAAGCCCAGTAGCTCAGATCGGATCAACCCAGAGCTCGGGGGACACATGTAATGCAGACCAAGTTGCAAGCATACAAATTGCAACGCAAGCCAGAGTTGCAACCCAGCAGCCTACGCTGCAACAACATAACTCAGTAAAGGCTGCAAGGCAAGCGCACCGCAATAAAAACACGTGCAATGCAGGCAACTGTAATGCAACACACTTTCAACGCAACAAGAACTGTAATGCAATAGCCATGACACTGCGAACAACTTCAATACAGCCCATCGGCAATGCAACACTAACTTTCAACGCAATAGAACCTTCAATGCGGACAACCTGGCAATGCAAACACACGTTGCGATCCAATACGACCTTCAAGGCAACAGCAACGGCAGTGCAATACACATTGCAGCAGAAACAATTGCATTGCACACCACACTGCAACCAACAACTACAATGCAACCACAGATTGCAATACACAACCAACTAGAACCACACCATAACGCATGCAGACCGCACCAGCAGCTACAGCGCAAAACACTGGTAACATGAAATTACTGCAGTGCAAGCATCCACAATGCTCAACACAACACATCAAGGCAACTCACACTGCAATACAAACTGCAACGCAAGAGCACCTGCAATGTAACACAACCTGCAACACCATGCACACTGCAAGCAAACACTATCATGCAGAGACGATTGCAAGGCACACCGCTCGTACAATGAGAACTGAAACGCGCAGGCAATACAATGCAGACAAATGCAATGCAAACCAGCATGCAGTGAAGCAGCCAACTGCAGTGCAACACGACCTGCAATGCAACATACAACTGAGCACGCAGCACAACCACATTGCAATGCAACCACTGCGTAAGTGCACACAACTACAATGCCGAAGCAGTGGCAACGCACGAAACAACTGACAACACAAACAAAGGTGCAGTGCCACCACACCTGCATTGCAAACAGCCCTGCAAAACAAACAAGCTGCAACTCGAACACAGCTGCAATGCAACAACAACTGCAACGCAACAATACTGCAAGGCAAGATCACCTGAAATGCATTATTGTAACGCCAGAACATCGCAATTCCAAACACACAGCAGTGCAACAACACCGCAATGAATGAATACATCGACAGTGGATCAGGCAAGCTGCAGCGCAACACAAACTGCACTGCTAACAGCAAGAACTACGCACACCGCCAACGCAACGCAACAACACATGTCGCACCTCCTCTGTCGCCCCTTTCCTGGTGACCCAGATAAAGTGCAATCGTCGTAGTTGGCGTTGCTCGCTTCGCACTCTCCCTGGTCCTCCCCAGACCTCGCTCGGTTCGCTCAAGCTCTAGCAGCGAAATAATGGCATAACACAGATCAGCGAAGCGAAGCAAAGCGCACGGTAACAACAAGCTGCAAAGCAACACAATCGCAATGCAGCAACGCTGAAGCGAACACCAACCTGTTTCTTGGTGGTCTTTGTCGTCGCTGCTCACCTCGCGCCCTCCCTGGACCTCTCCAGACCACGCTCTGCTCTCGCAGGGGAATCCTAAGCTCAACCTCTAACAACGTAACAGCGGCTCTCGTTAACTCAAGCTTACTTCTCAGCCAGGGGAGACAGCAGAGTCAACATGAAATCTGCAATTTTTGTGTCCGGCTTTCGTTTTCGGTTTGGACAAACGCTTTTGTTCGAAGCCATTCGTTTCTGATGCTTTTTCGAAGGGCTGCAACGCAGCGTCTATCGAGGGTTTGGGGCGATGGGTTCTCGTGACGACACGGGCCTTTTGGCTTATTCGCGACGTTCTTCTCACTCCCATCAGCCCATCAACAATCACATCACCAGGCGATTTGCACCGACCAGGGATGCGTAGCAGCATGCATTCACGGGGCTCTCGCGTGGACCTTTTGGGGCCACGTTAGAAGTTCTGGGGGCTCTCTGGGCCCTCTTGATGCCCTCTCGGGCTCTTTTGGGGTGCTTTGAGGGCCTAATTTGGGCCACCTTGAGGGTCATCGATCAAAGAAGAGTGGTGCGCCACCGTGCCCCCCCTCCCCTCGGAGGCCAAGCAAATACCTCTTGGGGCCCCTGTTGGAGACCTCTTGGGAGCTTTGGGGGCCATCTTGATCTTGGGTCTCTTTCGGGTTTCTCCTGGGGCTCGCTTGGGCCATCTTGGAGCCATCTTGAAGCCTCGAGAGCCAGTCGGAAGCGAAAATGCGAGAAGACAGCAACACCCGACTTTCCTTCTGATTTCTGAATGCTTATGGCCTCTCGGGGGTGTCCTTGGGATGCCCCATGGCAACTTGGGACCGTGTTGGGACGGTCTTGGGGCTTATTGGATGCATGTTAGAAGCTATGTTGAACAGTCTTCGGCTATAGTGTACGATTCTGGAGGCCATTTAGGGCTAGCCAGGGTCCTTTGAGGGCCGTCTGGGGGGAATTCTTGGACCCTTCAGCGACCCGCGGAACGCTCCCTCCAGAGCAAGAGGGGAGGGGAGGGGGAGAGGTAAACCGCCCCCCAAGGGAAGGAGGTTCGAGTAATTGACGCGCTAAAAATCACCTACGCCCAAAAGGCTAGTGGGGTTCGGTTGCCACTGTGCGTAACGGTTTTATCTTGCATTTCCTCGTCAGCTTACTTCCATGTCCTCCCTCCCTCCCGTCGGAACCACGGCGCCGCCACACTCGCCCATGGCGTCGGGGCGTGGAAGCTGCCGCCTGCGCATGCGGCATCCGACGCAGGGTGTCGCCTCGCAGGCCCTTGTCCATGCTCTTTGTTGGTCTTGATTTTCCGTCCCCAGGAGGGAGGGAGTGAGGGCGGGAGGGAGGGTCCTCCCGATCTTCCTCTCGGGGTCGGAAAGCCGGAGTGGGCCGACGGGGCGGCGCGCTTGCCCAAACCCCGCCCCCTGCCGAGGCATTCTCGTGCGCGCGTGGCGAGCATCATTGGACGGCCCTGGTCCTCCTGCTCCTCCTGCTCTTCCTTTTTCCTCCTCCTCCTCCTCCTCCTCCTCCTCTTCCTTCCTCCTCCTCCTCCTCCTCCTCCTTCTCCTCCTCCTCCTCCTCCTCCTCCTCCTCCTCCTCCTCCTCCGGCCTAATCCCTTGCCGCTTGCCCTCTTGAACTCGGGACCCGCCTCTGGGGGCCCCCCCGCAGTCGGGTGAGGAAGCAGGCCCATCGCAGGTTGAAGTGTGGCGCCCGCCGGGGGTTGAAAAAAATGGCACCCGCAGTGGGTTGGAAAATGGGGGGAGTCTCCGTTGACGGAAAGAGGCCCACCCCGCATGAACGGTGGCAGACCTCCAACGTTTTTCGCAGCAGTTTTCAAACAGTGCTTCACGCAAGCTTTCGCGAAGGCCTTCTCCAGCCCAGGACGCCAGGTCTTCACACCGCAGCGGCCCCAGTGCCAACGGGGCGCATGCCCCCCAGCCCAGGGAGCAGCCCAGGACCGCTGCCAGGCAAGCCCCGCCCGCCCTGCGTCCGTGCTAGGCGGGTGGCGCAGGGCAGGGTCTGGGCAGATGCGCCGGCCTGTCGGCCTCCTCTCAGGAGGGAAAAAAAAACACAGACACAATTAATCGTCGATTCCCGAGAAAATGTGGAAGAATATGAGAAGTGGGGGGGAAGACATACACACAGAAAATATGGGAAACTATGGGGAATAGTCTTGTTTGTGTGTATTTGTTTGTGTGTCCTGGGGCCCCCTCATCCTCTGGCTTCCCGACCCCAGGAGTAAGACGGGGGTGGAAGAGCAGGAAAGGAGAATCGGAACGAAGGCGAGCGAGGCGGCATCCTGCGTCTGTTGCCGCAGGCGCGCGCGGCGCCCTCCACGCCCCGACTCCAGGGGGGCGGGTTCGGCAGCATCGTGGCTCCGACGGGAGGCAGGAGGGCAGGAAGGGAGGCAGCCAACGGGTGGCTCCGACGGGAGGCAGGAGGGCAGGAGACGGGTGGCTCCGACGGGAGGCAGCCAACGGAGGAGGGCAGGAAGGGGAAGGACGCTGACGAGGCTATACATTAAAACAGCGTTGCCCACAGTGGCAACCAGATCGCACCAGCCTTTTCGGGCGTAGATGGTCCAGCGAGTTGGTTGCTCGATCCTCCTTCTCTTCGGGGGGATACCTGTCCCCCTGAACATTATCCTGGGGTCTGGAAGAGGCTTTTCTGTGGGTCGTTGGAGGGTCCGCTATGGCCCCAAGACGGCCCAAGATGGCCCCAGCTAACCCAAGATGGCCTCCAGTATCGTACAAGCAAGCCCAGTATTGTTCCAGGTAACTTCGAACATGCCTCCGATGAGTCCCAAGACCGCCCCAACACGGTTCCAGGTGTCCACGGAATTTCCCAAAAGGACCCCCCGAGAGTAGGCCACAATCATTCAACAGCCCCATCACGAGCATTGCTCGGTATGCTATCGCACTGTCGCTTCCGACTGGCTTACGAGGCTTCAAGATGATTCAAAGATGGCCCAGACGAGCTCCAGGAGGGGCCCAGAATTAAGTCGGGCTTGTCCCTCTACAGGGGGAACATTCAGCAATAGTCAAAAAGTAGCCTGGGGACTATTTTTCTAGTATTTTTGCCATTTTGGAGCATTTGTGGAGTATTGGAGAGGCCTGACGGCCTGTGCCGCCGACCCCGATCGAAAGGGCTAGGAGTGGGGGGAGGAAGCGGAGGAGGAGGAGGAGGAGGAGGAGGAGGAGGAGGAGGAGGAGGGGGAGGAGGAGGAGGAGGAGGAGGAGGAGGATTTTTGCCATTTTGGAGCATTTGTGGAGTATTTTGATATTTTTCGTCGAAGATCCCCCTGTAGGGGGGCACGCCCGACCTACGCCCAGAACTGCCCCGAGAGCGTCCCACGAGCGCCCCAACGAGCGCCCCAGCAGGGCCCCGGGAGGCCGCTCGGCTGCCTCCGTGGAGGGGAGGGGGGGGGCGCCGTTGGCCCCTGCCGCCTCCACGACCTGGTGTCGCCCTCCTCCCTCCTCCCTCCTCCTCCTCCTCCTCCCTCCTCCTCCTCCTCCTCCCTCCTCCCTCCCTCCCTCCCTCCTCCTCCTCCTCCCTCCTCCTCCTCCTCCTCCTCCTCCTCCTCCTCCTCCTCCTCCTCCTCCGCCTCCTCCTCCTCCTCCCTCCTCCCGCTCGGCCAGGTGCACTTCTTCTCGGCGGGGATACTCAAGGAGCATCCTGGATCATCCTGTGAAAAAAAACACGCGCGGAACCGAACAAAAAGCACAGGCAATAGCCGTCCGAGCGACGGGGAGATGCTGGATAGCCTCCAAGATACACCCGTGAGGCCTTCGCAAGGCCACCAGAACGCCCCACGAGAGCTCAAGAGTGCCCCAAGAGGCCCAAGAGGGCCCGTAGCGCTTCCAGGCTGCCCCAAGGAGGGCGTCATCATCAGCCCCACGATGCCCTCAAGAGCATCCCAGTCCGTCAGGGTGTTGGCAGTCCGCCGCCCAAAAAAAGTGCCAACTTCGGCGTCCAAGGCCCTTGCGTCCTTACAGTGGAGGCCCATGCCAAAAAAAACACCCTGCTTGCCTCTGGGGTGTCCTGGGTTTCGATTGTTGTGCCATGGAAGGCGTGACGCTCCCACACCACAAGCCCATGGACGTCCTGGTGTCTCAGGGTTGGGGGTCTTGTGGAAGGTTTCTTGTGGTCGGGCCCCTACTGTACCGCCCGTCCTTACCAATCGGTCGTTGAAAGTAGGTATTTCTGGAGTCCCAGATTCCAACCTACTTTCAGCGCCTTCCTACTTCAATGATCCAGTGGCTTCACCTTTCCATCCTCTCTAGGGGGTGGGTGGACACCCGATCTACTTTCAACGCCTCCCTGCTCCATGTTTCTGCCCACTTCTTCCGACCGATGGGCACTATAGGCTTCGATTGCTCTAGAGAACCGAGCTCCTCCGCCAGAGCATGGCCGGGGAGGCACCTCGGAGCCGGCCGCGCCGGCCGCGAGTGACCGATGCTCCTGTTTCAACGGCGAGGCGCGCGGGGCGCCGGGCGCGAGCGCCTCGTTTCTCAAGGCGCTTTTTTGTTCGCTCGCCGCTCTCTGCCGGATGCCCACCTGGGCGTCGCAAGACGACGGGGTCGTCTTGAGCGACGTTCGCGCGCAAGCTGCCACGTGTGGCTTGCCCGTTCGGCACATTCGGCTGATCGATGGCCATGCTGCGATCCTCTGTCTCACGCAGCTCCGCTGCGTTAATATACCGCGCTGGAGGAGTATGCGTTGGCTCGCTCGGCGTGAGGAATCAGACACCCCTCGACACAATTAAACTCCAAAGTGCGCTCAAATTGGTTGTGTTGTCGCCAGCGCCGCCCCGTCGCCGCCTCGTCGCCGCCCGTCGTCTTGGTCGTGTGGCCAGTCTGGCGGCTATGTGGTCGCCCTCGCCGCCCCGTCGCCGCCTCGTCGCCACTTCGTCCGCGCCGCTGGATTGCGCCACAGAGATTGCACACAAAAAGCGTCTGCGGTGCGCTTCATCCATCGCTCAGCGGCTCAATTAGCACCGCATATATCGCACAACACATACTGCACCACAAATATTGCACAGCCGCAAGTGTTGCATCACAGATAGTATACTAACGACGTACCTTGCACCACATATATTCTCCCTTCTAAAGGAGATATAGACTCTACCACCCCCCGGCGTTATCACTACCCCCGCGTCCGATGTAAATCACATATGATTCTGACCACATGTCCATCCGAAATATGAAATCCATGTCCCAGGCCAACCAGGTTCCCCCCCCTGAGGTTCCTTGGTAACTCTATGCGGTGACATTTTTCGCTCTAACGTAAGACTGTTTCACGAATCCCTTGCAAATAATGGAACGAAGTGCACACGCGCGCGTCGTCGCGCGCGCATGCCGAAATCCTTCAAAAACCTTCGGTGCCGGAAGGATTTCGCAATCGAGTTTCCAAAACACATACAAAAACACAGGATTTCGCAACACTGATTTGCTAAAAAAACTTCCGCGCGAGCTCTTGCGAAATCTTGAGAAATCCATAGGTTTTCAAGATTTTCACAAAACAAATCCTATTCAACGGGCTTCGCGCGCGCGCATGTCGAAATCTGTCGAACGCCCTTGCGCGTGCGCCGTCGCGAGAATCCTCTGCAAAAAATGGGACGAAGTGCAGACGCGCGCGTCGTCGCGCGCAAATGCCGAAAACCTTCAAAACACATCGGTTTCGGAAGGATTTCAAAATCGTGTGCCCAAAAAACCTACAAAAACACAAGGTTTCGCAAAATCGTGTGCCCAAAAGCATGCGCGGGCGCTCTTGCGTCGTCGTCGTCGTCGTCGTCGCCGTCCTCCCTCCCGCGTCGTCGTCGTCGTCGCCTACGTCGTCCTCTGTCTTTTCTCGTCGTCGTCGTCGTCCTCTTTGGCGTCGTGGTCGTTTCCGTCGTCGTTGTCGCCGTGGTCGTCCTTCGTCCTCCTCCCTCGTCGTCGTCGTCGTCGTCGTTGTCGTCGTCGTCTTCCCTCCTCCCTCGTCGTTGTCGTCGTCGGCGTCGCCGTCCTTCCTCCTTCTTCGTCGTTTGCGTCGTCGCCGTCCTCCCTCCTCCCTCGTCGTTGTCGTCGTTGTCGTCGTTGTCGCCGTGGTCGTCCTTCCTCCTCCCTCGTCGTCGTCTTCGTTGGCGTCGTCGATGTCGTCTCCGTCGGCGTCGGCGTCGTTGTCGTCGTCGAAGTCTTCGGAGACGTCGTCGGTGTCGTCGTAGTCGTTGTCGTCGGTGTCGTCGTAGTCGGTCTTAAGAGGTTTTGCAAACCAAGTTGCGGGTGGGTGGGTGGGATGTTTGCAAGAGCGTTGGATGTGTCAAATCATGGGTAGAAATGAATTGCACAACATAGATTGCACAACGTATATTGCATAACATACATTGCACCCCACATACTGGACAGCATAGAGTGCACCACATGGAATGGAAAGCGTATCTTGCGGTATACACATTGCTCCACATACATTCTTCTTAAAGAGAACAGGTTCTACAACCCTCCGCCCCCCCGGGGTTACAGACCCCCCGGGAACCGATGTAAAACACACAGGATTCTGACCCAATGTCCATCCGACCTGAGAATTTATACTATCCCAGCCCAACCGGTATCGCCCCCCCCCTCCCGCCATCCTCTGGAAAAAAATATATGCGCACACTCGCTCATCAAAAATCACAGTTTTCAATCATCCCTACAACAAATGAGACGAAGTGCACACGTGCGCGTCGTCGCGCGCGCATGCCGAAATCTTTCAAAAACCCATCAGTTTCGGAAGGATTTCAAAATCGAGTTCCCAAAACACATACAAAGCCGCAGGGTTTCGCAACACTGATGTTCTAAAAAAACTTACGCGCGCGCTCTTGCGAAATCCTTTTCAATATACATAACAAAACCATCGGTTCCACAATATTTGCAAACAAATACTGTCAAACGGGCTTCGCACACACGAAGGTCGAAATCTTTCGAACGCCCTTGCGCGCGTGCCGTTGCGATAATCCTCTGAAAAAATGGGACGAAGTGCGCGCCCACGTCGTTGCGTGCGCATGCCGAAATGCTTCAAACATTTTTTGCTTTCGGAAGAAATTCAAAATCGAGTGTCCGAAAAACATACAGCAACACCGGGTTTCGCAACGCGGATTTTCAACAAAAGCGTGTGCGCGCGCTCTTGCATCGTCGTCGTCGTCGTCGTCCTCCCTCCTCCCTCGTCGTCGTCGTCGCCGTCGTCGTCCACTGTCTTTCCTCGTCGTCGTCGTCGTCCTCTTTGGCATCGTCGCCGTTTCTGTCGTCGTTGTCGCCGTGGTCGTCCTTCCTCCTCCCTCGTCGTGGTCGTCGTCCGTCGTCAGCGTCTTCGTCGTCGTCCCTCCTATTTCGTCGCCGTCGTCGTCGTCGCCGTCGTCGTCTTCCCTGCTCCTTCGTCGTTGTCGTCGTCCGCGTCGCCGTCCTCCCTCCGTCGTTCGCGTCACGGCCGTCCTCCCTCCTCCAGAGTCGTCGTCGTCGTTGTCGCCGTCGTCGTCCTCCCTCCTCCCTCGTCGTCGTCGTCTTCGTTGGCGACGTTGTCGTCGTCGTCGTCTTCGTCGTCGTCGTCGTCATCGTCGTCGTCGGTGTCGTCGTCGTCGTCGTCGTTGGCGTCGTTGTCGTCGTCATCGTCGTCGTCGTCGGCGTCAGCGTCGTCGTCGTCGTGGGTGTCGTCGTCGCCGTCGCGTCCCTCACACGTTTCGTGGCCCCATAGGGAGCCTCACCCAAGGCCCCCGTGGCTGCGTTCGCATGCGCCCACCGCACCCAGTTCGGCACACCCCTCACACGTTTCGTGGCCCCACAGGGAGCTCCACCGAAGGCCCCAGTGGCTGCGTTCACATGCGCCCACCGCACCCATTTCGGCACACCCCTCACACGTTTCGTGGCCCCACAGGGAGCCTCACCCAAGGCCCCCGTGGCTGCGTTCGCATGCGCCCACCGCACCCAGTTCGGCACACCCTTCACACGTTTCGTGGCTCCACAGGGAGCTCCACCGAAGGCCCCAGTGGCTGCGTTCACATGCGCCCACCGCACCCATTTCGGCACACCCCTCACACGTTTCGTGGCTCCATAGGGAGCTCCACCGAAGGCCCCAGCGGCTGCGCTCGCATGCGGTTCCACCCCCAATTCTGGCACACCCGTCACACGCTTCGTGGCCCCATAGGGAGCTCCACCGAAGGCCCCAGTGGCTGCGCTCGCATGCGGTTCCACCCCTCATTCTGGCACACCCCTCACACGTTTCGTGGCCCCATAGGGAGCTCCACCGAAGGCCCCAGCGCTGCGCTCGCATGCGGTTCCACCCCCAATTTCGGCGCACCCCTCACACGTTTCGTGGCCCCATAGGCGGCGCCGCCCCATTTCGGCACACCCCTCACACGTTTCGTAGCCCCATAGGGAGCTCCACCTAAGGTCCCCGTGGCGCAGTGCGCATGGCGCCGCCGCCCCATTTTGGCACACCCCTCACACGTTCCGTGGCCCCACAGGGAGCTCCATCGCAGGTCCAAGTGGCGCAACTCGCATGGCGCCGCCGCCCCATTTTGGCACACCCCTCACACGTTTCGTGGTCCCATAGGGAGGGAGGAGGAGGAGGAGGGAGGAGGAGGAGGAGGAGGAGGAGGAGGAGGAGGAGGAGGAGGAGGAGGAGGAGGAGGGGGAGGAGAAGGAGCCCCCACGATATCCACAATTGCGGTATGCACAACTACGTGTGGTTGGGTCTTTCGTCAGGCTCATTTATCAATCGTCATCCCGCATGACACACCAGGAGCCGCTCTCCTGTGCGAGTTCCACTGCAGGGCCAGAACCCTCGTCGGTGCACATAGAGCTCGGGCCCCTCCTCGAGCCGGCTCCGGGCCCTCCTGCCTCTGCGCGCCGAGCGGCGCTCTGCAGCAGCCCCCCGCCGCGCGGCGGGCGAGGCCTCGGCAGGCCGCGCCGCGGGGGGGGTGGCGGCCTCGGCGGGAGCGCGCCCGTGCCGCGCGGTGCCGGAGCTGCAGGGGCCTCTTGCGCAGCGCCCCTCCTCCGAGCCGGCGACGGCGGCGGCGGCGGCGGCGGCGAGGACGAGGACGACGACGAGGACGAGGACGACGACGAGGACGACGAGGACAACGAGGACGAGGACGAGGACGAGGACGAGGAAGACGACGACGACGAGGGCGAGGACGACGGCGCTCTGCGCCCTGCGGCGCACGGGGGAGCGCTGGCGCGCCGACCTGTGGCCCTCGCCTCGCCCCGCCGTCGCCTTACTCGCGGGCGGCGGAGAGACCCGTGTCCGCGCACTCGCGGTCCGCGCGATGCCGCGGGTCCCAGAGGGAGGTCTGTCCACCGCCGAGAATGATCAAGAAGAGGCCAAAAGTCGTATGGGGAGGATTGTTCGACTATTGCTGACTATCTTGGGGGGGGGGCATTTCTTGACTATGTTTACCTTTTTCTTGAGAGATCCGCCTGTAGGAGGACATCCGCGCACTCGCGATCCCCTCGCGTCGTGACGAGAGCGCGACGGCAGGCATTGCGCCATCTCGAGTTTCAGGGGGCCCTGGCCGGGATCCGGGGGCCGTCCGCAACAGTGTCTCGGGATGAAAGGGCTTCACCCTAGGGAATGAGTCGGGACCCCTTGGGGTCGACGATGTGAACATATCAGCCAGCGTTGACTCCAAATAGATAGTGGGTGATGATGGTGATGATGACGATGATGATGACGATGAGGACGATCCTGTTGTCCACACGCGCACACTCCAGTTCAGTGTACTGTGCCGTACTGGACCGTGCGGCCCAGCAGCTGCATCAGGTGCCGTAGGAAGTAGGGGGGTATAGGAATGAGAGGGGAGGGGGGGGCAACGGACCAATTAGTAGGGTTTGAGTTAAGACTCCTATAGGGCAAGCCTATTTTGAGAAAATCATGACGTTGGGTATCTGGGATACGCGGTCGCACAGATACGTTCCGCGCGGGGCATCCGCGAGGAAGCGCTCCGTGCCCGCGGGATTCGCGGCCCCAGGGCCCAGCCCGAGTGACCGCGGACACGGCCATGTTCTTCGCCCGCGAGCCTCGTCGTTCGTCCCCCCCTCTTGTGCTCGTGTCCTCGTCTCCGCCGTCCTCGGAATCTTATTGGCCACTTTGGGGCTATCCCAAAACCGACGCCCCGGTGCTTGGGCTTGGCGGTGTTTCCGCTTCGATGGGATCGTCTCGGGGCTGGCGTGTGGCCCCATGGGCCCAGCCACAGCGCCAGATCCCAGAGGATTTTGTGAAGCTGGATTTTGTGAAGCTGATGGGCCTGTTTCCCACCACCACCACCGTAAGTTGAAGGGGTGAAGGAGGAGGAGGACGAGTTGGAGGAGGAGGAGGAGGAGGAGGTGGAGGATGAAGAGGAGGAGGAGGAGGTCCTAAAACAGGAGGACCCCCTCCCCCTGCAACTTATGGTGGTGGGGGATGGAAAACAGGCCCATCAGTTCTGCTCAATCTTGTGGTAGGAGTATGTTCTAGACGCCTTCCAAAAAGGAATCTGTTTGGTGTATGGTTTGGCTACTTTTAATTTTTCGCTCGCGCTCCGCAGCCTGCGCGCTGGAGCACGATGACAGAGCGTACGGATGCCCCTCGTGGCCTGTTGCGGACGACGGCGCAGTCTCGGGCCGCTTTGCATCCAAAGATGAGCATAACGACATTACGACATGACCTCCGACGAGCTCGAGGGTCCAGGTGCTCGGGGTTGTTTGGTCCTCTGGGGTGCCCGCGACCGCCTGGCTGACTTCTTCTGGCCGGAGGCCGGTGCAGCCGCAGAGTGGGAGGCAGCCGTCAGATCATGGCACAGTTGACGCATCGTGGCTCCCCCTCCCCTCCTCCCTTCCCTCCTCCTCCTCGACCTCCTCCTCATCCTCTTCCTCTCTGACACGAGGAATTTCTCCCCCCCCCTCCTCCTCCTCCTCCTCCTCCTCCTCCTCCTCCTCCACCTCCTCTTCTCCCCCTCCTCCTCCTCCTCCTCCTCCTCCTCCTTCTCCTCATCCTCCTCATCCTACTCATCCTCCTCATCCTCCTCTCTGACACGTGTTTGGCCACACATGCTTGCAAGGCCTGTTCTGGACGGAGTGCCGAGGGGCCTTGTCGCAGGCGCTATCGTTGTTGTGTCACCCTGCTCGCGCGCTGTTCGGCGCAAGGCTGCTGACCGACTGACTGACTGACTGACTGACTGGGGTGCCCTCGTGGCCATAGCTGGGTCTTCGTCGAAGTTCTGATCAGAACGCGTCCCAGGAGAGGTCGGGGTTCGATGTCCCACCCTCGGACCCAGAGCTCCAACGCCCTAGTGAGAGCAAGTCTGAGGTTCTCCCCCCCGTCCTCCCCCTCCTCCTCCTCCTCCTCCTCCTCCTCCTCCTCCTCCTCCTCTCCTCCTCCTCCTCTCCTCCTCCTCCTCCTCCTCCTCCCCCTCCTCCTCCTCCTCCTCCTCCACCTCCTCCTCCCCCTCCTCCTCCTCCTCCGCAGGCCGTCCAGCGCATTCGTGCGGTGCGCCTGTTTGGGCGAGGTGTCATGAGGTGTCCACCGGCGCGCGCATAGTGGCCCTTGCGCCAGTCATGTGGGCGAAGTGTCCACCGGAGCCCCAAGAGCTGCTACCCCCCAGTTGCAGTACATGCCAGTTACCTGGAGAGGCGTCCACAGGAACCCCCAAAATGGCTCCCCTAGGCATTGCGGTGCGCCCGCCAGTGTGGGCGAGGTGTCTAATGGCTTTCGGTCTGCACTCTGGTGCGCCAGTGTGGGCGAGGTGTCCACCGGCGCTCCAAGACTTGCTCCCCAGTCATTGCAGTGCGACAGTTTTTTATGGAGAGGCGCCCACAGGCGCCCCCAGACTGGCTCTTCCAGGCACTCTGGTGCGCCAGTGTGGGCGAGGTGTCCACCGGCGCTCCAAGACTTGCTGCCCAGTCATTACACTGCGACAGTTTTTTATGGAGATGCGCCCACAGGTGCCCCCAGAACGGCTCTTCCAGGCACTCTGGTGCGCCAGTGTGGGCGAGGTGAGTGGCTCCCCCAGGCAATATTGCAGTGCGCCAGTGTGGGCGAGGTGTCCACCGGTGCACCCAAGGTGGCTTTCCCTGGCAATGCAAGAGGAGGAGGAGGTGGAGGAGGGGGATGAGGAGGAGGAGAAAGGCCCAAGATGACCCCAATACGGCCCAATGGGCCCCCAAGACGGCCCAAGAGCGCCCCAAGATCCCAAGGGACCCCCAGAGAGACGCCAGGGTCCCAGGAGGGGGGGGCGTGCCCGCCACATCCGCTCCCTCGCAGCGGTCGGGGCCCCTATGAGGGGGTTCCCCCAACGATGATCACCCCGATGCGGCGGCGACGGGTCCGTCGGGGACAGATGCGCAAAAACGATCTGTCCGCCGCACGGAACTATTGAGAAGTTATTGTAAAAAGTTGTGCGATGTGCGATGGGCGCGCCGTGGACAGTGAAGTTCAACCATGTGTGGCGCGCAATTTTTCGGTGCGACGGCGACGGCGGGTGGCCAGACAGATGCACAGTACGTAACCAAGCACGTTCGCCGACGGTGCGACAGCGACCGGCGAGGCCGCGACAGATAGACAGTTCGTTTGTTTCCGGAGAACTCCTAAGATAGACTGTGGGAAGGATGGGGAAGCCATTCTGCTTCACCCTTGGTGCCTTTGCAGGGCCGCTTGGGGCCGTTTCGCCTGAGACGTCGTCGCAACATGGAGACGTCGGCCCGAGAAAAGCCAACGTGGCCTTCACCATGCACACACATCTCTGCAGCGCACGCAATGGCCAAAACACAATATGAAAATCCCACCAGCCCTTTGGGCGCGAGTGGTTTAAAGAGCCCCCTCTGTCCTCAACCCCCTTCTTCCCCTTGGGGGAGGGGTTTACCCCTCCCCCCTCCCCCTCCCCCTGGGCCTGGAAGGGGCGTTTCGCGGGTCGTTGGGTCACCGAAGATGGCCTAAGATGGCGCCAAGAGGGCCCAAGAGAGCTCAAGGTGACCTCCAAGATCGCTCAAGATAGCCCTCGATGACTCAATATAGCTCCCAACATGCGTACAAGACGCTCCAAGACCGCCCCAAGACGGCTCCACGTGGTCACGGGGCTCCCGATGCATCGTGTAATTGTATTATACCATCGGAGGCCATGTTAAGTTCAAAACTCAATGGTCAAAACCCAATGTAAATATTCACTATCTGGGCCCAAGAGGCTGCCACATAAGCGTGGAATATATACAACCAATACAATATGCGAGGCGCGCGCGCGCTGGTGACCCGCGCGGGGCCGGGTCACCCGCGCGCGCGATGCATCCTGTATTGGTTTTATTCCATCGGAGGCCATGTTAAGGTGAAAACTCAATGATCAAAACCCAATGTAAATATTCATTCTCTGGGCCCAAGAGGCGGCCATGCCATCGTCAAATATAGAAAACACAATACAATATGCGAGGCGCGCGGGCGCGCTGGTGACCCGCGCGGTGCCGGGTCACCCGCGCGCGCGCGATGCCTCCTGTATTGGTTTTATACAATCGGAGGCCATGTTAAGTTGAAAACTCAATGATCAAAACCCAATGTAAATATTCATTCTCTGGGCCCAAGAGGCGGCCATGCCAGCGTCAAATATACAAAACACAATACAATATGCGAGGCGCGCGGGCGCGCTGGTGACCCGCGCGGTGCCGGGTCACCCGCGCGCGTGCGCGATGCCTCCTGTATTGGTTTTATACAATCGGAGGCCATGTTAATATGAAAACTCAATGATCAAAACCCAATGTAAATATTCATTCTCTGGGCCCAAGAAGCGGCCATGCCCACGTCAAATATAGAAAACACAATACAATGGGCGAGGCGAGCGCGGGCGCGCTGGCGACCCGCGCGGGGCCGTGTCATCCGCGCGCGCGCGATGCATCCTGCATTGGTTTTATGCAATCGGAGGCCATGTTAGAGTGAAAACTCAATTGTCCTAACCCAATGTAAAAATTCATTCTCTGGGCCCAAGAGGCGGCCATATAAATGTGGGAAATATACAAACCAATACAACATGCGAAGCGCGCGGGCGCACTGGTGACCCGCGCGGCGCCGGGTCACCCGCGCGCGCGCGATGCCTCCTGTATTGGTTTTATACAATCGGAGGCCACGTTAAGTTGAAAACTCAATGATCAAAACCCAATGTAAATATTCATTCTCTGGGCCCAAGAGGCGGCCATGCCAACGTCAAATATAGAAAACACAATACAATATGCGAGGCGCGCGGGCGCGCTGGTGACCCGCGCGGTGCCGGGTCACCCGCACGCGTGCGCGATGCCTCTTGTATTGGTTTTATACAATCGGAGGCCATGTTAAGTTGAAAACTCAATGATCAAAACCCAATGTAAATATTCATTCTCTGGGCCCAAGAGGCGGCCATGCCAGCGTTAAATATAGAAAACACAATACAATATGCGAGGCGAGCGCGGGCGCGCCGGTGACCCGCGCGGGGCCGGGTCACCCGCGCGCGCGCGCGATGTATCCTGTATTGGTTTTAGACAATCGGAGGCCATGTTAAGTTGAAAACTCAATGATCAAACCCCCGTGTAAATATTCATTCTCGAGGCCCAAGAGGCGGCCATGTAAACCTTGGCAGGTCTTAGCAGCATTTCCATTCCCCTCCGTTTGGGCAACTGGAAGAAATGGGCCGCCACCAATGGATAGACCCCCCCCGCCAGTCAAGCCGCGCCGAGGGTGCGACGGCGCCCGGGGGATGGGCAGATAGACGGACAGAAGATGCGCAGACGTATCGGTGCGACGGCGCCTGGGGGGATAGATGTAGATACATGGATACGCCGCGCCAGCCAAGCAAAGCCGACGGCGCGGCGGCGAACGCTTTTTGAATATTGACCAGAACAGAGATCAATACAGGGGGAACCCCCTTATGGGCCCCTGATTGCCCCGCCGGCGACGCCCCTGGCGCCCTGGGCGCAGCAGGCCCTCTTCTTGTCGCGGCCCATCGAAGTCGGGCCAAAGGCCGGCTCGCAGCCGCCGTTGGCGTTGCGCCCGCCCCCATGCAGGCTGGGCGTGGCTGGCGGCCGCCGCCCCCGAGGAGGATTTGTGCGGAGGTGCTGTGGTCGCGCGGGAGGCGGCACCTGCCGCTGCCGCCGCCCGGGTCGGGGCGGGCGCGCCGGCGGCGGCCCCCGCCGAGACGGGCGACGCGGAGCCTGACGACGACGGCGTGGAAGAGCTCGTCGCGGCCGTCCGCGCTGACATCGAGCTCATCGAGATCGCGGGCTACACGCTGCAGCAGGCCCTGGACAGGTTCCTGACCACGCTGACTGAGGCGCCCCTGGCGCCCCCCGAGGCTGGCCCCCCCCCCGGCGGGCGCGGCCGGGGGCGCGCCCGCGGCGGCTCCGGCGGAGGCTGCGGAGGATGCACGGGCCATGGCCCGCGACCTGGTCACGCGGCTGTCCAGCGCGGCGGCGGGCGTCAAACCGGCCATCCTGGGCTCGTCGGTGAGCCTCGACGTCCAGTTCAAGCTCGTCGTCCCGGATGCGAGAACGGTGGCGGAGAGGCTGTGGGACTTCCGCGGGCCCGCCGGGCCGCCCATCCCGGCGCAGATCCTCGAGGAGGAGGCGGGCCGCCCCTGGCGCCGCCAGGCGGCGTCCGCCTGGAGCTTCGAAGGGCGGGGACAGCCGCCTCCTGGTTTTGCGCCTCCGCATCCCGTGCCGGTCTTCGCTGAAGAAGGACACGGGGGCTTCCGTGCAGTGCTCGCCGACCACGAACCAGGTCGTCGTGAAGGCCGTCAAGCTCAACATCGCCGAGTACGCCGCGCGCTGGGTGGCAGCGTTCGGGCCCGTGAACCAGGCGAGCCCGTCGCCGGGCTCGTTCATCCCAACGGCGGCGGCGCCGCCGCCGCCAGGCCAGCCGTCCGTGGCGGCCTGGCTGCAGCGGGGGGCAGGGGCGGCGAGGCGCCTGGGGGCGGACGCCGCAGGCCGGGCTGCTTAGCGGCCGAGGCGGCTGCCCCGCCCACCAGCGCGTGGCGCCGCCGTCGCGGGGCCTTGGCTCGGGCCAGGCTCACGGCGTGGGGATGCGGCGCCACGGGGCCCGGCGCGCCCCTCCGGCTAGGTGGGCGCGGAGGTGGCGTTGGCCGTGGTGGCTTGTGTAACTCGAGCTCGTGCAGTGCAGGGTGCGCATCGCCGCCGTCGGCCGGCGCGGGGCGTGCAAGCCGCCGCCGGGGAAGCCGGAGCTTGGGCCAGGCTCATGGCGGCGCGGCGCGCCCGCTGGCCCGGCGGCGCGTCGCGCGGCGGGCGCTCTCTGCTGCCGGGGGCCGCAGGGGTGGTGAGCCCAGGCTCGGGCCGGGCTGACCGGGCGGCGCGGCGGTGACGGGGGACGGGGGCGCCCGTGGGGCGACGTGGGGGCGCAGTCGGAGAAAAACGGTAACGATGCCGCCTGCACGCCCCGCCGTATCGCCACCCCGGCCTCCTCTGCTGCTCGCCTCGTCCCAGCGCCCTGGCCCTGCTCCTCCGGGTCGCTGGCCACTGGGGGCGCCCCTCGCCTCCCTCCTCCCTCCCCCCCTCCCTCCTCCTCCCGCCGCCGTCCCGAGCGGTGGCAAACGATTGAGGGGTCTTTGCGCCACCTCCTCCTCCTCCTTCTCCCACCTCCCCTTCCTTTTCCTCTTCTCGTTGGGGGCTCGGGGGGGTGCCGCTGGGGTGCCGGCGCGCGGGGGGGAGAGCGCCGCCGCCCGCCCGGCGCGTGGCCGAGTTCCGGCCGAATTCGGCCACGCGGGGCGCGGACGCTAGCGCCCCGACGGTGCCGCAGAGGATGGTCGCCTCCTCCCCCCCGCCCCTCCCCTCCGCGCTTTCCTTCGCTTGGGGAGCCCGGGGTGGGAGATGGTGCTGTGGGAGGGGGCCGCCCCCCTCGCGGCCACACGGACCCGCGGCTGAGGCGTTGTGGGGGGGGGCCGGACGCGCCCATCCCACACCCCTTGGCGGACGGGGGCGCCGCGCTCCCCCGTGAAAGGTACCCCTGGGGCAGCGGCGCCCCCGGCTCCCCAAGGCGCGGGAGCCGAAGGCCCAGGGGGCGGATGTTGTCCCGCGCCGGGGAGTCGCCCGGCCCCTCGGGGAACCCCCGGGGGCCGTCCGGAATAACATAGTCCGAAACATAGTCCTCCTCCTTGTCCCCCTCCTCCTCCTCCTCCTCCTCCGTCCTCCTCCTCCTCCTCCTCCTTCTCCTCCTCCTCCTCCGCCCTCCTCCTCCTCCTCCTCCTCCGCCTCCACCTCCTCCTCCTCCTCCTCCTCCTCCTCCTCCGCCTCCGCCTCCGCCTCCTCCTTCCCCTCCTCCACCCTGCGGCGGCGAAAAACGTCGCATCGAGGTCTCGGCACGCGCTACGCCGCTCCCTCCCTGCCTCGTCGGGCCGCGGCAGCCCGCCGGCGCCCCGCCCCTGCGAGGCTAACGACAACCCAGATCTCGGAGTCGGGGCCTGTCAGATTCGAAGAAGAAGCAACTGCATAAACACAAACTTTTGGCCCTCCCCGCGGATTTCTTGGATCCGCGCTGCCCCCCCCCCCACACACACACACCCCACAGCGCCGCCCCCTGGCGCACTCCACGCGCCAGGGGGGAGGTCTCCAGGCCAGATCCGAGAAACCCGCGCGGAGGGCCAAAAATGTTTATGCCGCTTTGTTTCCTCTACAGATGGGGTCGGCGCAGATGGAGTCGGAGGATCGCGCCACATCGCCGATGCATTGCCGATGCGGGTCGATGTGGAACCCGATTTGCTTCACGTCGACGTCGCCGTTGCAACGCCGATGTCGACGAGGCATCGCTAGTGCATCGCCGATGTATCGGCGATGCGGCGCGATCCTCCGACCCCATCTACTCCGACCCCATCTGGGAAGCCTCTACGAAGGGGTGCCCTTTCGGCCCTTGGAGGCTTTTCTGGGCCCTTGAATTATGAAGAGTGGGTCCAGGTCGACCCTCGGGGAGTGAAGCGGTCGTGACCTTAACGGACGTGGACCGGAAGAACCAAATCTTCGGATTGTCACGGAAGCGCACGGCCCACCGAATTGTTGTAGGACTTGGGGGGGCCCAGCCGCCGGAGGCATCCCTGGATAGCGACCCAAGCCCCCAAACCGCTTGGTTACCCCAAGCCGAGCGGCCCCCACCCCCCCACCTTACGATGTGTCTCTCTCTCTCTCTCTCGTGATGCCTCCATGGGGCCCTTGCCATTCTCTCAAAGACCTGGCCTGGCAACAAAAAAGGCTCGTGTTCTTGATCCACGATCTGGTAGCCTCGTGTCCGCTGTAGGGGAACAAGCTATGACAGAAGCATCAGAACTCGAAGGTCCGCGCGGATTCCTCGGATCGGCATGGCGGCCCACTGGCGGCACTTCCAGAGCCCACCTGAGACATCCGCGCGGACCTGTGGGCTTTTTTGTGTCTATGTCTTTGCTCGCTTTGAGTCGGGCATGTCCCTCTACAGGAGGAATCTCTCAACATAGTAGTAACAAAAAAAAGTATGGGGACAACCTTCTGACTATTTTCGATCATGTTTGAGGATGCGCTGCCAATGTTTTATTTTTCGTCCAGTCCCAAACCAGCCTGGAGGAGGACATGCCCGACCTAAGTCTGAGTCCTTGCCCGCTCCCTGAAGGAGGGCGCCGCAGAGGCGAGCTCCCCGGGCTCCCGCCGAGGCTCCGACGACTCGGGCTCGGACCGCGAGGGGGGAGGCCCGCCGTAGAGGAAGCGGGCTGCGGGGGGGGGGGACTCCTCCTTCTCCTTCCTCCTCCTCCTCCTCCTCCTCCTCCTCCCTGTCCCAGGGCCCCTCCGGAACCCTCCGCCTCGTCCTCCTCCCAAGGGGGGGATGTGGGCTCTGCAAGGTTCTGGAGGGGATGTGGGTTAATTGGAGGGTTCTGGAGGAAGCGGCCGCTGGGAGGGATGTTCGGGCCAGACGAACGGGGGGGATTGGGAAAGGGGGGGTTAAAGAAATCTGGTGCATGCAGCTGGTTTCGGCCCCTCCGAGGGGCCCATGCTTCGATACATAGCCGCCTCCGGCGCCGGGAGGCGCCGGGAAAATCAGCTACGTGAGCTGCTTCTCAAACCCCCCCTTTGCTATCCCCCCCTTTCGCCCGGCCCGAGCTGCGGGTTCTGGAGGGTTCTCCCCGGCTCCTGCCCCGCGGGGCCCCGCGCACGGCCGCAGGACCGCCAAACGTCGATTTGGGAGGGAGCTCTGGGGGCCAGGGCCCATGTCCACCGGGAACCCTCGTTCGCTCATGCCAAAGAGGGAGCGCCTCGCGGTCGACCCGGTGCCGACGACGTCGGAGCCGCCGGAGCCGGAGCAGCATCCTCGGCGCCCTCGCCGCCCACTTTGTGACGGAGAGCGAGGAGTTCACGGACGACGAGGCCTCGAAGGCGTACCTGACCAGCACCTTCAAGTTGGGCCCGCTGAAGGGCGTGGAGGCGTTCCGAATCTGGAGGAAGTCGGGGGGCAACGCTCGGGGGGGTTAGGCTCAGGATCGGGTGCATCCACCCACAAATTGCCCCTTGATCGCCGACAGGCGCCTGATGACCCACCCCGCCCGGCCTTGTACGGATTCGCTGTCGGGGACCTGTGGCAGATCTATCGGTCATGTGTCGCCGATTCGCGGTCGCTGCTTCCCCCCCCGAGCAAGGGCGCCCCCCTGACGCCACCCCTCAGGAAGGTGTTCGAGGCCCTGAAGGTGGACGGCGAAGTGCACCATACGGACCTCACGCGAGCGCTCCAGATGGCCGGCTTCCAGGCGCCGGACCAGGCGTGCGTCTGCGCGGCCAAGGAGAGCGTGACCCACTGGTCCACCCTCACCAAGGCGCAGTTCAACGAGTTCGCGGTCGCCTTCGAGAGGGAGAACGAGAAGCTGCAGGATGCAATGTTCGCCAAGTTCGACATCGACGGCTCAGGCCAGATAGACAGGGGCGAGCTGGAGAGCCTCTTGGAGAACTTCGGCATCGTCCCGATGCGGCATATTCTGGACGAGGTTCTGAACGAGGTCGACGAGGACGGCTCTGGCAACGTTGGCCTGGACGAGTTCAGGAAGGTATTCGAGATTCTGCGCATGCGTGAGGGCTTCTCAAAAGAGGAGTTCAGCGAACTGACCGAACTGTTCGATAAGTTGGACCTCGATGGTTCTGGCGAGATGGACATTCGAGAGTTGACGGTCCTGCTCGGGTACCTCGATTACAATCTAGGCACGAACGAGCGGGACGTCATAGTGAAAGAAGTCGACACCGACGGGAGCGGAGAATTGTGTGAGGTCGAGTTCTTGCTCTTCATGAGGAGGTGCCGCCAGATTGAGATGAGGAAGCTGACGGACGCCTTCAAGAAACTTGTCCCTGAAGCGGACGGGGTGGTCTGCTTCCACCACATGATCGACACTTTCACGGAGATGGGCTACGAGGTTGACGTAGACGCCACCTGGGAGGCTGCCCAGAGTGCCGGCGTCACCAGCAAGGAGGCCCGCCTGGATAGCAGCGACTTCTGGAAGGTGCTCACAGAGTGCCGGGCGCGCGAGTGGTTCACCAGTCAGGAGTTGCAGCAGATCGGCGACATATTCGAGCAGGTCGACGTGGGAGGAAGTGGCGAGGTGGACATCGTCCAGGTAGACAAGGCCCTCCTGGGGCTTGGGCTGTCGCTTAGGACCGAGCTGTTCCTGTACCTCGTCGGCAAGGTCGACCTGGACAACTCTGGGATGCTGAACCTGATGGAGTTCCGAAAGCTGGTCAGGATGTACCGCAACGGGCAGGCAGAGCTGGTGCGAACGACCTTCGTGGAATTCGCGGACCAGAACAGCCGCTGGCTCAGCGTCGCCGACTCCTGGAAGGCCTTCAACAGCCTCGGGCTCGTGAAGGACAGCATCAAGAGCTTCCACGAAGTCCAGGCTCTGGGCCCCCTGGACCTGCGAGCCTTCCTGCGGGCCGCCCGCAGCTTCGAGCGGGGGCAGGAGCTGTACCGGGAGCAGAACAGCGGCTTCGGCGAGCAGGCGGTGCACGACCTCGAGCTGCGCTTCCGGAAGTTCGACGCCGACGGCAGCGGGGCCCTGGAGAGCCGGGAGCTCGTGCCCCTCGTCGAGGAGGTGCTGCCAGGCGTGGCAACCTTGCCCGAGAACAGGGCGAGGGTCATGAAGATGATGGCGGAGGCCCAAGGTCGGAGGGAGGAGGAGCGACGCTGCGGCGGGCTCACACCAGATGTCGACCTGCCAACAGGTGCCCCCACGGAAGGTGCTCATCCCCCGATGGCCGCAGGGGCCCGCAGAAGCTGTGGGGCGTCTCAGGCCCCTCGTAAATCGGCGAGCCGTGTGCCCCAAGATTCGGCCACGCGCAAAGAGGGGCAGGGGCAGGAGGGAACGCTTCTTAGAGGCACCCTGCTCCTTACAAGGCGCGGGCCTTGTCTATAGCTGTAGGGCTGGCGCCTTCTAAGAAGTAGCCTCCACCTACCCCCTGTGCACGCCGACAAAAGATTCCTGATGTCAAGGTTTTTTTGTAGGTGACTACAGTACCACCACCAGCGGGTCAGATCCAGCGGGGACGCCACAGCAAAGGGATCACATCATGAGGAATATACCCTGGCTGGCTCCCAGCGACGGTGGTGGTGATGTAGGGCTTCTTTGTTCCTACAAGGGGGTGCTTCAACCGAAAGCGAGTACCTTGCGCAAGTCGAGCTGAAATCGTACAACCGCACCTTCACCCACGCCAATTCGACTCAGATCGAGCTGAATTTCCAGCAGTTTTTGAAGTTGCTTTCGCTCATACGCGGCTTCAAGCTCGAACGGCTCTACAAAGAGGAGCAAAGAGTCATCGAGGATATCCAGGAGGAGGATGAGGAGGAGGAGGAGGAGGAGGAGGGAGGTGGACGAGTTGGAGGAGGATGGGGAGGAATAGCCAGGAGCCGCCGACGATAATGATGAGTAGGAGCAAGGAGGGAAGGGAGGAAAAGGAGAATGAGGAGGCGGATGATGATGATGATGAATGTTGTTGATGATGGTGATGATGGTGACGATGATCGTGATGATGCTGATGTTGATGTTGATGGTGATGATGATGATGATGATGCTGATGCTGATAATGGTACTGTTGCTGATGATGCGGTTGATGACAATGATGATGATGGTAATGATGATGTTGATGATGGTGATGCTGTTGATGATGTTGATGGTGATTGGAGAATGAGGGCAGTGGGTGTCACTTAATGTGAGTGCTTACAGATCCACCCTCCGCTGTTTTTTTCTGGGTCGAACCAGGCAACATGAATTTCTAACGAAGTCGGTGGGGTTTGGCCCCCCAGCGTAGCATGAACACGATATTCGCCAGCTGTCTCGGAGGCCCATGCTCCCGCTGGCAAGCCAAGTCCAAACCGTTGGTGGGCGCTCGGCTGGGCTGCCTCGACTGCGCTGCGCGTCGGCCTCGGCTCGAACGGCGCCCTGAAGGCCGACTCGGGCAGAGAGGCGGTGCAGCGGCTGGGCTTCACGCTTTTTGTCGCGGTCGCGGACTCGAGTGCCACTCTCTGGCGCGCAGGGCTCTGGGGCTGGTGATGCCGCAGGCGCGACGACCAGGGGGAGGTCGAGCAGCCGCACGCCCAGCGCGCCGCCTTGCAGCCGGCCAAGCTGGAGCCGCACGCCGCAGCGGTCGCTGCCCCTGCCGACGGCGCCCCAGAGGCCTGCGGTCCAGCCATCGGCGGCATGGCGTTGCCGCCTCCGCCGCCCTTCGCGCTCAGCCAGTGCCCGCAGGCGCCCCCGCGCCCTGGGCGCCAGAGGCCGCTTCTCGGCCCAGTGATGGAGGCCTGGCCGCCTTTCACGCGTTTGGCGGAGGCGGAGGGTTGCCTGGGCCGATCTCGGCCAGCCAGGGCGTGGCCCCAGCGGCGAACGCCCCTGCCGCGCCGCACGTCCCAGGCCTTGGGGAGAGCCGCGCGCGGGACAGCGTGGGCGCGGCTCGCCTTCGCGATGCGGTGGCGCCAGGGTCAGCGGTGGATATCACGCCGAACTGGCTGATCACGGAGGCGATGACGCACTCCAAGTTGGAGCACCAGCGCGAGGAGAGGATTGGCGCCGAGCTGCAACGCCGCCAGAAGGGCGACCCGAAGGGCCCGAAAGGCGTCAGGCCCAAGGGGGGGCCTCCCCCCAAGGGGCAGCGGCGGCCATTGACGCCAGGCGCGAGAGGAGGTACCTTGGCAGCCGGGGGCACCTCCCAGGCGCAAGATACGGCTGCGTGGAGGAGAAGGAGCTGGGGGCGTTTGGCCAGCCGTCGCGCGGGAGGAGGGCGCGACCACGGTGTCTTGGCAGACGCGGCGGGCGCCGACGCCCTCGAGGCCAAATGCGACGAAGAGGCCCCCCTCCCCAGGATTCGACGAGCTGCATCAGCAGCTGCAGGACGGGCGCGCGCTGCTCCAGGACGACCTGAAGGCCGTGGGCTACCGCGTCCAGCGGTCGCCACCCGCACTGCGCTCCGACATGCGGAAGGGCTGGCTGCTGCGCGAGAGCTGCCTCTTGCGATTTCAGGTCGACTGCATCGACGCGGAGCTGCTGCGGGCCGCGGTGGGCGCCTGGCCGTGGGGCGTGGAGGGCCCTCCTCCGGCGCGAGCTGGCGTTGGCCCCCCGCGCGGCGTTCAGCACGATGGAGAAGCACGCCGACTAAGTCATCGCCAGGTGGCCGTCCGCGAGGCGCGAGGTGAGGGCCATGGTGCCCCTGGCCCCCGCGGTGGAGCACCCGCTGGACCTGCCCGCTGCGCCGCTGGTGTTCTCGACCGACGCCGAGGGGGTCAACGGCGGGGATTTCGGCGGCCTTGGGATCGCGGGGGCGCCCGCTGGCTTCGCCGAGCGGGAGGCGCTGGTGGCAGCTGGCACGCGGCCGGGCCACCACGCGGTCGCGAGGCTCGACAGCAGGGCCGGCCACCTGAACAGGGTCGACAGAGAGATCGCGAACCGCATCGGCGTCTCTAGAGTGCCGAGGAGCCTCGAGAAGCCGCCGCAGGACTGAAACGATCTAGGATCTGGGCGCTGGCGACGCCCCGACCATATCACGCTGGGCGAGGGCAGGGCGGCCCTCGGGGCACTGGCCGCGCTCGGCCGCGCCGCGGGGGCGCACGGCCACCTGGTCTCAAACATTGGAGGACAACGAGGGCCTCTCCGCGGCCACGGCCAAAGGGCACTCGTCGGCAGTGAGCTTCAATTTGCGGCTCCGGCGGCGAGCCGCCCTCAGTGTAGCTTCCGGCATCATGTTCGTGTTGCCCTGGGTGGAAACCAAGCACCAGGCAGCACATTGGCTGTTATGTCGTACATGAAGTGGCGTGGGCCCAGGCGCTTGGACTATCGCCCAGCAGCGCGGGTCATATTGCAGACCATGGAGATGTACAGGCGAGAGGCCCGAGGCCTGGCATCTTGGGCGATCGCCAACCACCTTAACCCTGTCGGCCCAGACCAGTGGGACGACGAGCTGGTGGAGTACAAGAATGCATGCGCGTCCTTACGTACACCGTCAAAGTTTTGTAATCGGTTTGCGGCCATCGAGCTGTTTTTTCCCTCGCATGAAGGTCGAGCTAAAGTGGGCACGCGCTGTACTTCGTGGTCGGGGGAAGTCACGGGTGATCAAGCACACCGTGCCGTTGGGTAAGGCGCCCGGCAAGCTGATGAGCATCTACCTGGCGCCCGCTGGGCACGGGGGGCTGGGCCGAGGCTTGGTGCTGCAGTGCCATGCGGGACTTGGGCCGTCAGAGATGCTTGGCCTGTGCCCTGAACGCATTTCCTTTCCTCATCATCGGGCTATCGATGGCAAGTCAGATCCAGTGGTCCTGGCCTTGGGAGTGCGCTTCGGTACGAAAGCGCAGCGGCCTCAGGTGGCCGTACTTCCAGGACGTCATGTCGATATCGCTGAAACCCTCTGGAGTTGCTCGCAGTTGACCCCTCCTGACCAGCCTCTCTTTCCATGCAGTATGTCTCAACATCGCGCGTTGCTCAAATCAGCCGAAGCGGCGCTGGGGCTTACGGTGGGCTGGGGCCCGCGTAGCCCGCGTGCCGGCTGGGCGACCGACTCGCGCGCCGAGGGCGCCCTGTTCGCCGAGATCCGCGAGGGCGGCCGCTGGGTGAGCGACTCCAGCCTCAGGATCTGCATTGACGTGCAGTCGGCCAACGCGGCGCCCACCGACCTGCTCGCAGCGGGCCGCGAGAAGCAGCTGCGCTGGGCGGCGGACGGCTGGAGGCAGCGCGCGCGCACGGAGCTGCTGGGGGCCCCCTACCGCTGACATGGCGCCGAGGGTGGGCAGCGCGTTCGTCGACGGCGTCTACGCGCCGCCTGCTCCGGCGAAGAGCCCCTTACCTGCCTGTGCGAATAGCTCGAGGACGGCTTCGCCAGCCCCAGCTCTACCGCGTTCGCCAGGGGCCACGTCGGCTTCGCCAGCCTCGACGCTTCCCGCGGGCTTCACGCCGCCGTCGCCCGGGACGCTGGCGGACGCGCCCTTCGCCAACTTTGGCGGCCCCGTCGCCGCGGAGCGGCCCGCCGAGCGGGGCCAGCCCGTTCACCCCGAACGTGGAGCCCGTGGCGCCGCCGCCCCTCGCGCCCCAGACGCCTGCTGGGCCGCGGCGACCGCGCCCTGCGCCGTGGCAGAAGGGACTTGCCAGCCGCGCGCGGTAGCTGTCGCCGGGCGCCGTGCTGCTGCTGGCGCCGTGGATCAGCCTTCCCAGCTTCTCGCCCACGCTGGCCAAGGGCGTCGGCGCGGCCATCAGCCTACCCGAGGACATCGCCGACGCTGGTGGCGTGCTGGCGCGGGCGGCCACCAACGTCACGGTGCTGGCGATAGATGACGCCGTGGCGGTGGGCCGCGGCTCCCTGTCGGCCCTGCAGGAGTCCCGGGAAGGCGTCGACCTCCTCGATGCCACGGCCAACGCGTCCGGCGGGCGTTTCATCCTGCTCCTCGGCTACCGGATTCGCTGTGGCAGCTGCCTGAGGCGCGGGCCGCGGAGATCTGGGAGGCGCTCGGTCAAGTTGGCCCGACATTACCAACCATCGCCATCTCAGACCAACAGTTTGTCGCGCGAAACCGCTTTGAATTCGAGGCGGCGCTCCTTTATACATACTATGTGGGGCTGCGACCCACGTTGGCGGTTTTCCATTTCACGCCAGTTTGGGCCAATCCTTTGTAGGAATGGATTGGATCTGATATGATCGCGCAGCTTGAACGCATTTCAGATCGAGCGAGGTCAAGCACGGAGGCGGCTACAGACCTCAGCTGGCTGCGCGAACCCCTCCACACGACCGACATCCCCGTCGGCACCTGCCCGCCCTTCTGGTTCCGCCTCTGGATGCACGTGATATCTTCAGTAGAGTTCGCGCGCTTGGCTGGTGGGGGTGGGCTGCAATGGTGACGAGAACATCCGTGGTTGCGATTTGCCATGAAGTTCAGGTCACAAGTGGGTTTCGCCATCAGTGGAGTGTCATCCATCACTGCCTGGCTGGGGAGCTCTGCGAGAGCGGTCGTGATTCTATGCAGTGCTCTGGTTGTCAGGGCACACGTTTTTTCTCGTGTTGGCCTGCCGCTCGCCAGTCCAGCATGCAAATGGCAAATACTCCCGAAGCGGTTGTCCATTCATTCTGCCGTAGAACCTGTGCCATGCCATCGTCCTGTCCGTCCGCGTCTGCCATATCTCGACTCGTCTACGCCCTTAACATGCCCAGTTCTTGGGTGGGTGGGCGGGCTTTCAGAGCATACCGGATCAGCGTAACACGTTCGAGCCACATTATGTTGATGATGGTGATGATGTTGATAATGGTGATGCTGATGATATGATGATTATGATGAGGGGAGGGGATAGGGTCAATGGGGGAGAAGGGAGCAGGAGGAGGAACAGGAGGAGGAGGGGCGGCGGAGGAGGAGGCGGAGAAAGGAGACGCAGCAGCCACCGAGGGTACCAGCTTGACGACATTGGGCCAGGGATCCGACGAATTGGAAAACGATGCCTACGAGAGAGGGGAGGAAACGGAGGAGGGGGAGGAGGAGGAGGATGAGGAGGAGGAGGAGGAGGAGGAGGACCGCTACGTCCTACCACACTCACTGCCGCGGCGGCCGCACCGCGTGCCGCAGCTCATCGGCTTCCCTTTCGATGCTGCCTTACGTCGGGCGTGTCCCTTCACAGGAGGAATATCCGAAAATAGGCAAACATACTCTGGTGACGATTTTCTAAATACGATGTTTTGAAACTGTTTAAGCATTTGCTGAATATTTTTCGTTTATCGTCCAACATCCGCCTGTAGGGAGCATGCTCGAACTGATCCTACCATCCTCACTCCTCGGCGGCCGCACCGCGTGCTGCAGCTCCTCGGTTTCCCTCTCGATGTTGCCAAGGGGCTCGCAGGCCGACCCACGCCGCCCAGCACCCTCAAGACGAACGCGGACGAGCGCATCGCTTGCGCCGAGGACGCTGCCAGCGCTCCCAGCGCTCTGGCCCGTCGCGATGCGCACGCGGTCGGCCGCCCCCCAGTCCACCTGGCCCAGGGCGCCTCACTTCATCGGGCCGTCGGCCCAGGAGCCGCCGAGCTGTCGGCGCCACGGTGCTGGGCCGCAGCCGCGCCAGCGACAGCAGCCGCCGCCGCCGCACCGAAGCCCTCCGCTCGGCGCGTCGGCAGCCGTCTCGGCCATCGCCCATCACCACCGCCATCGCCGTCGCCGTCGCCATCGGACGTGGGGCCGTCCCCCAGGGGTTTCGAGACGTCGCCGCCGCAACCTGCAGGCGCCTCCAGGCGAGGCTCCGCGCCTCCCGTGCCGCGGCGGCTACGCGAGGCCTGCGCTTCGCCTTCGAAGGGCCGCCGCGTTCGCCGCCGACGGAGGCGCGGTCACCGCCGTCGGCGCGCCCACTGTGGCCTTCAAGGCGGCGCGGCTCCCGTGCAGCGTGCAGTGCATCGGCCCAGCGGCGGCGCGACCACGGGCAGAGCCCGAGGTGCCCTGCGACACGGAGTTTGAGCCAGACGGTTGCCAGGTGGGGCAGGGGGGAGGAGCAGGAGGAGGAGGAGGATGGCCAGGGAGAAGCAGAAGCCCCCGATGAGGTTGAAGAGCATGGATACGAGGGAAGGGGGGAGGAGGTGGCAGAGGAGGAGATCGGGGAGGAGGAGGAGTAGGAGGAAGAGGAGGAGGAGGAGGAGGAGGAGGAGGAGGAGGAGGAATGATGAGGGAGGCGCAGGAGGAGCAGGAAGATGCAGCAGCCAACGAGTAGCGCGAGGAGGAGAAGGAGGAGGAGGAGGAGAAGCAAGGAGGAGAGGAATGAAAGAGGGGAAAGGGGGGAGAGGTATGAGGAGCGCAGATGTAGGAGATGGAGGAGGAAGAGGAAGAGGAGGAGCAGGAGTGGGGGCGAACAATAGTTGCCTCGCTGTACCGCCCTGTCTTCTTATGGAGGTGTGCAGGTTAGGTTATGATTGGAGGCTGGAAGAGGAGGAGGAACATGCTCGACGCCGTCACCCTCATGGGCGTCTTCCAGGCCGCCTTGCTTGTGCTGCTTCTCTGGACACCACGGATCATCATCCCATGGCATGAGCGCAGCAGCAGGAGGAGGGTGGCGCAACAGGATGGCATGCACACGAGGAGGAGAAGCAGCAGCCTCCGAGGAGGAGGAGCAGGAGGAGGAGCGAGGGGAGATAGGACAAGAAGAAGGCGGAGGCACACCACGCAAACTAAGGAGGAGGCCATCCAGCTGACGTGCATCGGGGGCACGGCCCGTCCCCAGACCCCCGACGTCATGTTTCTTTTGTTTGACGACGTCGACCCCCTGAGGTCTCGACATATTCCCCAGGACCGATTTTTCATTGAGGGCCCCCAGGGGCTGAAAATAACGAAAAACATCCCGTCGTGTTTTTGTTCATGTGTGTGTGTGTGTCCGCCTGGTTCCGAGGCTTTGCCTCCTCCCGGCCTCGTTCTGAAGCTGCGCCCCCCTTCTCCTCCCCCTTCTCTGCGTAATTCAAGCTCTGCGCGGCCCGCTTAGCTTTGACCAGAAGAGGTGCACTCTCGACCCGCGAATCAAAACAAATCGTGTTTTTGTTCATGTCTCGGGGGACCTGGGTCCAGAGCCGCTCAAAACGCAGCCGGGATCAGACCTCGTCGAGCTCTCCGAGTTCGGGTTTGGGACGCCTCCCCCCTCCTGCCGGGGGCGCGCCCGCCGACCGGGGGGCCTCGTCGGCCTCGGCCTCGGGAGAGGGCACCCCGAAGTGGGCGAGCCCGCGGACGAGGCCGAACCCTGGCATCGCTCGGACGTGTGCATTTTTTCTCGGTAGGGACCATCGAGGACCATCCTGGATCATCGAGCAAAAAAAAGCGCACGAAACCGAAACATGCACGGGAAATGGACGTCCGAGCGACGGCAAGTTGCCCCGAAGCAGTCCCGGGGCAGGTCCATAAGCGACGGGGCTCTTCCTGAAGGTCGCCGTGGTGCTCAGAGAGAGCGTGTTCGTGCGTCGAGAGGCCGTGCGCCGCCTGCGGTAGAAGGACGAGGAGGATGAGGAGGAGGCGGAAGAGGAGGAGGAGGAGGAGGCAGAGCCCGCCGAGGAGTGCAGCCTGACTGGCACGGAGGTCCAACAGCTGCGCGAGCTTTTCCTGGAGAGCGCCTCTGGCGACCAGGGCCTTCGACGAATCCCAATCATACGCAAAGCAATTGTAATAATACGAACCGTCACATCAGCATCGTAATACTCATCGTGCAGGTAGTAGTGACAACAGTACCAACACGAAATTCACAGTGCACAGAACTCGTCATCAGCAGCATCATGCATCATCATCGTCGTCGTCATCAGCATCACCCTCGCCATGATTGATGTCACCATCGCAATACTTATCAACATCATCGTCATCATCATGAGCAGCGTCAGCATCGTCATCATCACCAACACAATCGCCATCACCACCTTCATTACCACTATCATCGCCACCATGCCATCAACATCAGCAGTAGCATCATCATATGTACCATCATCATGATCATTAGCATCAGCCATCGTCAGCATCATTATCATCAACTCCCCATCATTATCACAACCATGAGCATCATCATCATCATCATCATCATCATCATCATCATCAACATCAACATCAACATCAACATCAACATCAACATCAACAACATCGTCCGACGGCCGTCTGTTTACGACGTTCTCGGGGATCCTGATGGTGTTTGAGCCTCGAGCTGCTTTCCAGCTCTGGCGGGCGGAACACCGGTCGGCAGTAAACGTTGGGCGGATCGATGATTGCAGGCAAGTGGCCGAACTGGGCCTTGGACGTCTCCCGATCTGCCACAAAGGGCCCAAAAGGTGCACGAAAGGGGTATGCTGTCCTTGAACGTAGGTGTTTCTGGATTCCCAGATCCCAGTCTACTTCAAGTGCCTTGCTACTTCAAGAATCGATATGCTTGTGCTGTGCTTTGTTATTCTCCGGGGGGGGCTGAGCCCAATCTACTTTATCCGCATTCATACTTACTGTTTTCACCGACCTCCTCCGACCGACATGCACGTTTCTTCAACCCACGCTGATAGCCCCCTGTCAACGAACACCCGAACAGCGGCCTGGCCTCGCCGAGAGCGTTCCTGGGGGTGCCCAGAGGATTCGTCTCGAGTGGCCGCCGAAGGCCCGCGCAGTGACCCGAAAGCCAAACAGGTAACCTCTTGGAGAACAAGACGGCCGTTTTTGTTCGCCGTTCTCAGCCCTCAGCAGGCCCCAGGATCGTCACGAGACTGCTCAGGATCTGAGCTGCCTGGATTGACTCGTTTTGTGACGTTGAACTTTTGTTTTCACTGTTGCATTTCTCGTGACGTCGGATCTTCGGGTCTGGAGGGTGCCTGCAGGCGACGGCTGCATGACGACGAAGGACCTCTGGCTCCTCTTCCGGAACATCTGCCCGCTCGGCGACAGGACCGCGCGTGGCCACTCAGAGGGCGGTTTCGCTGCAGACTTTAGACTCAGGCAAGTATGCTTGCACGGCATCTCCGCCCCACGCCACCCCAGCTCTCCGCCCTCCGCCGCCTCCTCGGACAACGCTGGGCCGAGAAGGCGTGCAAGTGAGCCCCAGCTCGCGGGAAGTCCACAGTTCCTGTTGGGACTCGCAACGCCCCCCCCTTCCCACTCTCCTCACCACCCACCAAACCACCCCAACCCAACCCGAAGGGTCAAATTTACCCTCGATTTCTAGTGGGGGGGGGTCCGGGAACATCGAAAAAACACATATGGAGCCCGTACCCCCCCAACCCGAAATTCGGGTCTTCGGGTTGGGTTGGGGTGGTCTGGTAGGTAGTCATCTCCCCATCCGTGCACGTAACTTCGCGGGAATCTCAAGAACATCGGCCTCTTGGAGCCCGTCGCGGTCCCGCGGCGCAGAGCGGTCCGCGTGCGCGTCGGGTCCTTGGCTTCCAGCCCTCCTCCTCCTCCTTCTCCTTCTCCTCCGCCCCCTCCTCCTCATCCTCCTCCTTCTCCTCCTCCTCCTCCTCCTCCTCCTCCGCCTCCTCCCCCTCCTCCTCCTCCTCCTCCCTCCTCCTCCTCCTCCTCCTCCTCCTCCTCCTCCTCCTCCGCCCCCTCCTCCTCATCCTCCTCCTTCTCCTCCTCCTCCTCCTACTAATCCTCCTCATGGGCTTTCCCCAGGATCCCTCCCCGTGGGACGTGCGCTGGACCTCTCCAGATCTTAACCCGCGCATTCCCCCTAAAGACTTTAGAGTTCGGCACCCCAGACTTCTCCCAGGGCTCCTCGGGCTTCTCAGAGCAGGGAGGGGTTCGGTAGCAAGCCATGGGAGCCTCGTATACCCTCTTAATTCTGTCTTCAGCGTCGATTAGTGTCTGGGAGTCGATGAGACAGCGCCCACTTAGCGTCGATTCAGCGTCGATTTGGCGTCAACGAGCGTCGATTCACAGAAGCCGACAAGATGGTACGGGAGGCCCCCATGAGTTGCCACCGAAGAGGGGGGTACGAAGCAATCAGGCCGTCCACTCGGAGTCTAGAGGAAGCACTTCGTGTTGTCGAGAGCGCCAGCGGCACATCACTGGCCGCGCTCCGCGGGAGTTGGGCGTCTGTGAGGTGCGCCTGGCTGAAGTCGCCTCGGGTTTTGCACGGGCAGGTGGAGTCTCGGATGCGTCTCTTGGCTCTCCTGGGGGCGCCTGGGACCGCAGCGGAGATGCCGGAAGTCCCTCGGGGATGTCTCGTGGCCCTCTGGGAGAGTGCCGGGTTGGGATGTTGAGGGAGAGGAGTAGGGGTACAGTCCGAGAAGAACTGTTTGGAAATGGATTTCGCGCTCGCGTGGAGGCCACGTTCGTCGCGGCGTCACCATTAGGGTTGCAGTGATAGTGAATGCCTTGCGCGAAAGCGCGATGCCCAGATTTAGTCCAATGCGTGCGGCCGTTTCGGTTCCATTGCTGTGCATGGCCTTGCGTTGCATCGCACGTGGTCGCATTGCAGTGCGTCGCCTTATTTTCGCGCAACCACACACATACCACCACGCACGCGCGCACGCGCATCACCAACCACTACGCACGCGCGCACACACACACACACACTCACACACAATCACATACACACGCCGCCGCCACCACCACCACCACGCACGCCACCACCACACGTACATTCTACCCCATGATCCTGCCAGACGCGGCCCCTGTCGGAGTCACAGTTCTGCTACGACACGCGTCCGCGGTTAGAGAAACAGCAGCGCCATTGTAAGGGGTGGTAGGGAGAGTTAAGACGTCAGCTATGACCCGAGCGCACCTAGCTTGTTTTCCCCCCTCTCCCTCGCATTGAAAAATGTTCACGAGCTCGCTCGTAGACTCGCGGATGTGCTCGGCGCCGAGGGTTTCGAGGCGATTTGAACCCTTTGAGGCGCGCGACTGCGTTCGGCGCCGAGGGTTTCGTTGCACTTTGAGACCATGTGAGACTCGCGGATGTGCTCGGCGCCGAGGGTTTCGGGGCCTTTTCAGACCCTCTGAGACTGTTTCAGACCGCTTTGAGACCGCCATCGGACGCGTCCGGTGTGTGTGTGTGTGTGTGAATGTCTACCATGCCGTGCAGATTCTGAGACTCATCCGACTCTCATTCTTTAAAATAGTAGATGAAGAGTCGGACATTCTCCAGGCGGTTCGAGCGCGGACGGGGCCGCCGCCGAGCGGATGGGGCCGCCGCCCAGGCGCGATCCAAGCGGTGCAGAATGTTATGCATCCTTTTGGCCAACGTCGGCTCGACGGGCGTGCAGCGCAGGATGTGACTGATGCGACTTGCCGTCCATATGATGTGCATTCAAAAGCTTCCATGCGAAGAGTGGAGCATTTCGTTTCCCATGTTTTCTTCGACTGTAGTAGGGGGAGGAAAGCGACGACGAACCTTGCACGAGCACGAGCATACGGACAAGGAACGATGAGGATGAGGATGAGGAAATCGATGAGCACATTAAGAAGGAATGGAGGCGGAGGAGGAGGAGGAGGAGGAGGAGGAGGAGAAAGAGGAGGAGGGGGAGGGGGGAGGAGGAGGAGGAGGAGGAGGGAGAGGAGGGAGGAGGAGGAGGAAAAGGAGGAGGAGGAGGATCTCGAGGATGAGGAGGAAGAGGAGGAGGAGGGAGAAGTGGAATCATATGAAAGGGCACAGTTTGGGGCCGATGGGGCAGGACTAGGAGGGGAACGGAGAAGAAAAGGGGAGGATGACAAATGGAGGGAGCATGACAAATGGAGGGTCGGCCTGCGGAGGAGGGGAAGGACCAGGAGGGGAATGGAGGACCACTCCTCCTCCTCCTCCTCCTCCTCCTCCTCCTCCTCCTCCTCCTCCTCCTCCTCCTCCTCCCTCCTCCCTCCTCCCTCCTCCCTCCCCTCCTCCCCCTCCTCCCTCCTCCCTCCTCCCTCCTCCCTCCTCCCTCCTCCCTCCTCCCTCCTCCCTCCTCCCTCCTCCCTCCTCCCTCCTCCCTCCTCCCTCTCCCTCCTCGGAGGGGAAGGGAGGGGAAAGGAAGGACGGCAAAAGGAGGGAGAAGAGGACTGATGCAAGAAGGACCGGTCTGTGGAGGAGGGGCAGGACTAGAATGGGGGGAGTGGAGGGGAAGGGGAGGATGACCAAAATAGGGAGTGGAGGGATCACATGAGAAGGAGCAGTCTGTGGAGGACGGGCCTGATCGGGAAAGGGATGCAGCAGGGAAGCGTCGTCGTGTTGTCCGAGGGGCTTCGTCCTCGGCCGGCGCTTCCCCCTCTCGTGCTGCCTGCGTGGCCGCGCGCTCGGTCGGTAGGCCGGCTGGGTGTCTTGTCGGTGGGCTGGCTGGCTGCTCGTCTGCCCGGCTTGCCGTCTGTCACCAGCCTCGAACTTAGCCCTATCCCTAAGATTGACACGCCAAAAGGCGAGGACAATCTTAGGGATGCGCCCTGAAAAATTGAGGGAATCCCTAAGAGTGGCATTGTGATGAGGCGATGCCCAGCTTAGGGATAGGGATATGTTGCAGGATGGTAAGTCTGAGCTGATGGTCTGCGGTTGCTTTGGGCTGCTTGCTGGCTTGCTGGTTGCGCGCGCCTGTGATTCAGGGGGGGAAGTTAGGGGAACGAACAATGGCATAAACATCAGAACTCGGAGGTCCGCGCGGATTTCTCGGATCCGCGCTGGACCCCCCTGCCTGGCGCGCGGAGCGCGCCAGGGGCGGTGCCGGAGGCGCCGCCAAGGGCGTCCAGCGCGGATCCGAGAAATCCGCGCGGACCTCCGAGTTCTGATCCTTCTGCCGTTGTTCGCTCCCCGAGAAGAGGCACCGATGCCGCCACCGATGGTCTCGTTCTCCCCTCTCTGTGGGGCCTCCCGCGGGAGGCCCTCCGTCGCCGCCGCGGGCTTCTCGCCCCGAGATCGTAGGGGTCGGAGCGCGCCCCGGGAGAGGTCCCGGGAGAGGTCCCTGGGGAGTACACCTTAGGCGATGCTTAAGAAAACTCAAGTTTTCGGCCAGAATCTCGATTATTCTTAACGTTGCAATGTAAATCCTAAGATTTTGATAGAAATGTTGGGTTTTTATTTCAAGTTCTGAGACCATGAATTTCTTAACCCATGATTTCTTAACCATTTCGCGTGGTGTAGCTCCCATTCGACATGGCCGCCCAGTCAGCCAACATCATATGGAGCAGTTTCGTCCAGCGTTTTCTCCTTCCTGCGCCTCTTCTGCGGGTCCGTGGGGGCCGAGCTGTGGGGGTACCTTTGGGTTCCCGCAGTCGTGACGCAGTGAGTCAGTATCGTTTGACCGATCCCCGTCCCCATGCCGAGCCCCACCATCTCACCACTCCAGTTAGGGATTGGCCCCTCGAAGACCGCAGGGAACCGTCTGCATCCCCATCTCGGGGGTGTATCGGCCAGCTGGGCCCAGGCCACGCCAGTGGGGACAGGGACCGATGAAACGGTGCTCACAGCATACGAGCATTCGCGGCCTCGGGAACGCACGCCCCAAGCCAGGTTCGAGGATCCGTGGCCGCAGGTCCAGGGCGCCATTCTTGGGAACTGGCGGGCGGGCGAACAGCCGATGCCCAGATCGGCGGCGAGCGAGGGGGGGGGGAAGTGAGAAGGAGCAGGCCTTCCCTGAGATCCTGGCGACGCAATTTTTCCGAGCTGAGCGTTGTCGCTCAATTTCGGGCCCTGGGACCATCGCAGATCGATCCAGCTCGAAACATTACATCGAAAAATGGGATCCCGGGGTCTGGTCATGTTTTTTTGCGATGTTGGTTTCTTTCTTCTGTAATGTCGATATCATGGTTCCCTGAAGGCGGCGGAACTTCTCAGAAACCCTCCGGTATTCTGAGAGGTTCGCTGCGTCTTCGGGGGAGGCCTAGAAGACTGTTCAGAAGGCTGGCGGGCTTCCGAGCCTCCTGGGGAGGCCCGCCCCTTTTCGCTTCCCCCCCGCGCTCGCCGCCGAACACACACCTCCCAACAC